TGAACCAAATTGATTCCCATCAGACATACAAAAAGCGGATATTTACAATGGCCAAACTTTGCAAACTTTTCATCATTTAAATTTTACAAATTTGAATTAACCAAACCAAATTTTAAGCCAAAAGTTTGTTGATATTCAAACACAAATTAAGACCACGTTCAGCTTTCAAGTCAAAGCTAGCGATTCACCTGATTTAAACTGCAACCGAAAGGGAAAACTCATTTAAAAACTCAGCTGAACTTGTAATTAACTTTCTCTGCTTCGGTTGGGGCGTGTGGCATTACCAAAATATTTATCCAATTAATTTCTGCCTTGGTTGCCAAGCAATTTATTGCAACATTTTCATTACGCTTTTCGCATATTTCCACTAACTTAGTGTTTGCTTTGGCTCATCGCACCTTCTACATCTCATTTTGCCTGCTTATCCTGCCGGATTCCTGGTGCTTCTGTTTTGGACCATTTGCTATGTGCACCTTTTGCCCCCGGCTGTTATTTCAGTTGCAATTTTTCCCCAGCTCGCTTTCCACGCTCTTTGATTGCTCGCCACCGTTTTTCCCCGCCGCTCGACTCCTAAGAAAGCTCCTCAATTATAGACTCAGACAGAAAGATAGACAGCCAGACTGGGAAATGCGAACAAAACGCATCTGACGAAAGAGGCAAGCGTTTTTGTGCTATTTCAGGCGTGGTGAAATATGTGAAAAGCGAGGCGAAAGGTGAAGCTGGAAATTTTCCAAAGCAGCTCAAAAGTAGGGATCTAAGTATCCCCAGGCATGATTGGCTGTATGACCTGCAATTGAGCTCTGTATAAATAGTTTGGTTCGCTGCAGCTCGGCGATTGATTGGTAATCAATGCCAATATTCCTGCAGGGATTAAAAATAGCTGAAACAGAAAAAATAACTGGCAAAACCAATTTTAAATTCCTTCTATTATTTCAGATTGCCAATTCAATAAACATGTAGAGTTCTCTCTTCAATAAACATTTCTCTTTAAGGGGTAATTTCCATATATCAGTGGCCTTTAATGCTTCTCGTTGTTTCCTTTTCAATTTGCAAATAACTAGTTCACTGTCAGCAGAAACTTGCTTGGCATTTTCCAAAAATTATTAGCCAAAAGAATGGGACTCCGCTCCCTGAAAACCAGTGGCATGTCCACTCTTCATATTCCAGGGCTTGGCTTTCCCGTTCCATCCGCTTTCCAGCGCTTTTCCTCTCCTCACTCCTCGAATTTCCGGAGCCCTGACAACCAGAACCAGCAATGACCTAATAAATCCGTTTTATGTCTTGGTCCTGGCGCCGCCTTCATTCAACGACTCCAATCGCTTGGACGGAAATGCCAGCGGCGTCTGTTTGTGGTAAGCCCCTCAGACAGGCCCGCTTTTCCCCTTCCGAATTTCCATACACTTAGATGGAACACTCTAAAAAAATAAATATACTCACAACATTTGAGGGGAAAAAAAGGAATACAATTCTTTATAAATTTAGCCAACGTTCAATTGAATAGAAGAAATATTTGGCATTTCTCTTTTAGGCTTTATAATTTAATTAAGTTTTTATCACATTTAAATTAGTTCCAACACTTGTTAAATCAAATGCCCTGAATTTAATTTTGACACCCCAAACTCCTTACTTTATTTAATATTGCTCAGTGTACTTTGTGCCCTTTTCAATTCATATTCAAATTCAAATTGTAGGCGTGGCCGCGCCATTTATTGTCTGCGCCATTAGCTGCACTAATGATCCATTCAGCAGGAGCCAAATCAGTGTGGAGGGGAAAGGAACCAACTCTCGGAAAGGGAAAAGAAAAATCTGAAAGGGAAAAGGAGGAAAACCCTAAGGCGGTTATATTTAAATAAGAGCCGGGATGCAGACTCCCACACACACACACACAAACAAACCCAGTGCCCATGCCAATACCAAATACAGACAGACAGACACATCGGCATTGTCAATATGCTTAATGGATTTTCAAATATTTAAACAACCCCGAGAACCCAAGACGACGGCGGTTTTCCCCTCCGCTTCCAACTCCCAGCCATTTTCCTAGCCCTCTGTTTGTCCTGAATGCATTTGCACACATTTACGCATTCACACATATAAATCAAATGTTATGGGTCCCGGGCTAATGGAATTACAAATTGGTATTTTCTTCTAATTGCCGTGCATAAACGATAATTGATAATTGATAACTGGGTCAGGAGAGTCCGCATTATGCCGATGAAAGGGAAAACACGCTAAAGTGCAATTTCCCAAGGCAGCCATAAAACTGTTAGAGTCGGAAAACATTTAATTGGATTTGAAAAGAAAGGTTGCTTATGCCACATTCAGTTGATGGGATTTAATATAACAAGCAAAGATCAGTATGTATAAACCTTACTCTTAAGTTTTCCACTCCGTATTTTTTCTGGTTGAGAAATGCACTTACACGAAGGCAAACAAACGTACCTCTTCGTTTATTCATACGAGTTATGTGGGCATGCATTTATTTTATTTCAATTTAAAGTTTTAATGAGTTTTTGCATTGTAGCCTAATGCCCCTGTGAAAAGGGCCAACAACTTGCCGGGATTTATTCCGTGTCGAGTTTATTTATTTACCCTTCGCAGCGATTATTACGAGTAGAGTTTTTCCTGTACTCTGCCATGTGCAGATTTAACTTTGTTGTTTTCCCAGATTTGAGGAAAAATTTTAAATTAATTTGAAAATAAATTCAATTTAGAGGCGGCTTGTTTGTTGTTGCCCTGCTGGCTTAAACTAATTGCCCCTGCAATTGGTAAAGCTCTGTGCAATGTGAATTGCAATTTTTATGCCTGCTTCGTGGTTATCGGAACTCACAAATTGCATATTAAATATTTTTGCAGATGATATTCCAGATCGATGCAAAAAATTTCAATTTAATTGACGGCGGGTCAAAATATAGCTGTCGAAAAATAGAAATTCCACAAAGCCTCGGGGCTAATCTACACAAAAATTATTTAAAGCATAAAAGCAATTGATACAATATTAATAACATTCGGAACGATATTTCTGCCCGTGTCAAACTGTCAGAGACTCGGCATTGTTGTGAAAACATATCCAAATAATAACAAATAAAACAACCACGCCTGAAATGCTGACATTAATGAGTGAATGTGAAAAGTTTCCATAGAAATTGACCGACAGAAAAATGCCTGAGTGTCATTGTTAAATATTGTCCACTACGTGGCGTTGTTGGTCAACAGGCTTTGTTCGAGGAATGTCCTTTTTTACAGGACAACATGCCTCAAGCTGAAATGTATCAAAGCGAAAGCAGAAGTTGAAATATTTCTTAAAGTTATTTGCGCAAAAAAATATTAAAATTTCTGTTTGCCGATGGAGACATAAATTTTGTGCTAAACGCAACAAAGTTTCTTTGATTAAATTTGCCAAAAGCAAACGAAAACCGACTAATTTAAAATTCAACTAAATGTGACTCTGGGCATGATTGAAATCGAGAAAAAGACGTATTTCAATTGAATTGATTAAAATTGTGTACATTTTATAACTGGCAAATGGTTGCTCGATTTGGGATTCATGCAACTAATCAGCATAAATATCAATAAATATGTGCCTATGTACTCGTACATCAGTAAATAGTACCCGACAAATTATTTGTTTCCGCTTGCCTGGCCATGTAATTAATCACCGAATAATTTGGTAATTTTAATTTACTGCCACGCCCCCTTTCCTCCGTTTCCCTTTGTGCCCATACAGACAAGTGCATAAAACCAATTTGTGCCTATGCACCGTTAATTAAGATTTAATGCCCTACTAGCACTCAAAATCGAATCCTGCCACGCCCCCTTATCCCATTTCTATTTGCCATTTTGTGTGCGTAATTAAGCGACAATAAGCATTTAATACACATTTTCGCTCACACACACACTCAAAGTTGCAATTAGTTTTTGGCACGAGTGTGTGTCGGTGTTTGCCTTCGCCCTTAATGCCACGCCCATTAAGTACACACTCCGCCCAATTGCACACACACCCACACAAACAGGCAGCAAACAACAACAAATTGTTGGCTAATTTGAGAGGCACCGAAATGCCGCCGCCTCCAATTGACATGGCTATACGGCGCTTATATAAATATATATGCGCATATATGTGGGCTTATATATATATTTGTCGGCCTGCTGATATGGCGCACACATATGCCTGCAATTAAAAATTATCTGCGAGGCGGCATCGGATATAAAATACACTGGAAAATTAACAGGAAGTTGAGGATAAAAAGTGGAAGGGATTTTTAAGTGGGAAATTAATTTTGTTTTCCAGAGGAAATAACAATACCTATTACACATTTTTAAATAAAATCTTAAATATTGTAAGTTAAAGATCAAATAAATCTGAAGCTCCCACTGTAACGCTAACCGCATAAATAAATCTAAAAATCTATTCCAAGATAAAGGAGGAACAAAAACTTATATTCGGGGTAATTCCTTCGCCATTGTAATGTTTAATCACAGCTCCCTAATTTAACGGCTAACAGTGTAATAAATTTAGCCGACATAATTTGTGCGTCTCCTTGGGTTAATGGAACAAAGGAGAGAGGGGGTAAGAGGAAACTTGCATCAGATTAGTAATTATGTAAGGAGGCCACATACACGACCACGAACTCGCCCAATGAATCCCCATAAATCCGCGCATAAATACAAATTACGCAAGCAGCGCCAGCGGTATCAATTTACTTGGGCGGCAGCGGGTTAAGAGGTCAAGTGGCAGTCAAAGGTTAAACAAAATCCCATGCATAATGAAAACCGTTCGGAACTGTCCTTCGCCCTCGTGGTCATTACTTATGTTTTATGACATGCGGCTTAGGTTTTTATGCCCCCGGCATCTTTATCTCTCTCGTGGCAAAGCCAACATAAGTATATTAAAATAGGGGATAAGGAAGCGCCATCTTAGCACTAATCACAGAACAGGAAGTCTAATGCACACCTCTGATTAATCCACTTACTTCTATACTTCTATCTATATTTTGCAGACAATCATCCGCGAAATGAATCGCCTGGGGATGATGGTCGACCTGTCGCACGTCTCCAAGGGAACGATGAGGGACGCCCTGGAGGTCAGCGAGGCACCTGTGATATTCTCGCACTCCTCCGCCTACGAACTCTGCAACACGAGCCGCAACGTCCAGGACGACATCCTGCAGGCCCTGGCCAAGAACGGCGGCCTCGTCATGGTCAACTTCTACTCGAAGTTCCTCTCCTGCAGCGACAACTCCACCGTGCACGATGCAGTCGGTAAGTCGATGATTTATAGATATTTAATGAAATAAAGAATAATCTTGAAAATATTTATATTCCTTATTTGAAAGCTTATCCTAATTTTACCCACAAAATTTAAAGGAAAATTATACTTTAAATTTTTACATTATACAAAAGTCCAGACTTAAATGAAAATTGTTTACACTTCTTTCCGAGCAAATCAAATTTTATTCCTCCAAATGCAATCCCTTTCAAGCGACTTTTACTCACCAGGGATTTTAATTTATATCCCTAAAATATGACATCAAAAAAAAATGAGTATAATTCCTTTTATACCTTGCTAAACGCCTTTGGGGAACTTCGCCCCATCCGAAATCAATCAAAACCAGTGACTTGGTCGCGGTTGCCTTTGTTGTACGGAGTCCTGATTGTCAGGCTATTGTTTCAGTTAGTTCATTATTGCCTCCGTTCTCCCTTTTCATTCACTTTAACCCCCTTTGGCAATGCCGCCCCCCCCTCGTCCCAGTTTCTATTCTGATTTTTGTGGCTTTGCTTTTGACGCGCCATCAAAATGGCTCTCGTAATCACTTCCTGGATTCGTTGTCTTTCGTTTGAGGCACCTCAAATCTCTCCCCCATTTTTTTTTTTTTGGTATACACAGATAAAAAATATGGATAATGTTTTATATTGAATTGCTTTGTAATAATACTAAGCGTTTTAATTTTTATGGAAATCCTGATGGTGTATTCTATAATTATATTTTAAAATCTTTAGCACGCAAAATGTCGAAGCAGTTCGTTACATGTGAAATTCAGCCCTCTAATATTTTTCATTTCACTTTCTTTTCATGACTTTTTTTCGACTGCTGTGGACACATTTCAAATTCGCGAAATTTTAATAACGCTGACTTATGACGGCAAATACAAAAACAATGGCGGCGGACCCCCGACAATGGCCCTTAATGAACTTGACAACAAATGGCAACCCTGCCACCGGATATCCTTCCGCTGACCAACACACTCGCAACTCTCTTACACACACACACACACACTTGGCCACACAGCGCATATTAATCACATTAAGCGAGTCGCTGGTATCGATCACGTTGGACTGGGCGCCGGCTACGACGGCATTAATTAGTAAGTAAAAGTCATTTATTTCACTTAAATTCACATTTTTCCCCCTTATCCCCCCCGAACTCGATATCGTCTATATAGCATGTATATGCACGGTGTCCTCCAGGTGGTTTTTCATTCCTCTCTTTTTCCCCTCTAGCCTGTTTTCTTTTCCGTTCTTTATTTTTTTTTTTTTTTTTTTGAGTTATTAATTGATTATGTTTAAGGCGGGGGACTTAACATTGGCATATTGCCATCGTACAGCGGTACGATGGATGTGGGTATAGCCTTATTATTTTACCGCTCATTACGGGCACTTTTCAGCCATTGCTGTTTGCTCAGCACTTTTCGCGAAAAACTCTTGTGCAATCTGTTTACGAGATTTTTAAGGTAATTTTATGAGCTCTCATCAGGCAAACGGGTGGCGAGCGATAAAAGATTATCGTCCAACGTTTTGCGATTGAGAACTGAAAGTTATGTTGGTCGTAAAGGGATTGAATAAATGCATTCACTTTGCGGGAATAAAATTTCGTAAGTTGCAAGCAATATAACTTTACTGGGACACCATGAATATTAACTGAGCCATTGAAATAATTTTGGTTGTTCAACATGAGAGGAAACTTTAAATATTCCACCAATTGGTGAATTTTTCTGCTGCACTTGAAGCCAAAAAGTATTAAAAGCCTGTTCCCATTAGCAGAACCGAGTGTTCATTACCTCAATGGGTGTCCTAGTGTCCGGAATGTCCTTTTTGCATCGCACTCGTCGCCATGGTCGCCGTCAACATCATTCGTCTTCATTATCGTTGTAATTATTCCCGTGGTGCTGGGGAGAATGCATTTGCATAGATTTCCATTTCATTGCATCACGGACACAATGCGAAAACAAACAAAATGTTCAAGCCGAAAATTTTGATAAACCTACCTGTCGCCCCAATCTGCTGTTCCCCCAGCTGTTTTGAATTAAATATTTTGAGTACATGGCCAAAAATCAGCACATGAGCTGGATTCCCTCACAAAAATAACAAGAGGGATAACAACAACAAAAAATGTCCATGTAAATCAATTTTATACCGAAATGAACTTCATTTTGTTTTGGTTTTTGGGCAACGCGACCACAGAAATGTTTATTAGGGTCTGGGGTTCCAATAAAAACAAGCAATTTGAAATTGGTATATATGAATATTTATGGGGCAATTGCCTCAGCCCAAAATGCGAAACAAACATGAGCATGCATGACACAATAAATAATCTAAAATTCTATGAAATTACTATATGTCAAATGGCCTTGTTTCCGGTTCGCGTTGAACCGCATAGTGGATTCGCCAGGGAAAATACCTAATTAAACCAGTTTCCACATTAAAGGTTGGTTTGTGCTCCCCGTTTACCAGCTGACCATATTTTTGGGGTTTGTTTATTAATTAAATTGTCATTACTTGGGCTGCTAATTTTATCAAAATATTGGAAATAGAAATTTAAGTTTCTGCAATCGAAAGCCACAAATGAGTGCTATTAATTTGCCAACACAAACATTTGCACTCGAATACCATTCAGGCAGAGAAATTGAAAATGGCAAATCGAAAAGAAAAGGGCATAAATTGTTTTGTTATGGCTTATTTTTCGAGAATACTTCAAATGTTTTATATTGAACTATCAGGAGTTAACAGGGTGCGCAAAAACCTTTAAGATAGTAAGTTAACGTTTTTAGTTAAAGATTAGATTAGTCAAAAAGGTTTTTATACAAAATTAAAAAAATTTTTTTTTTTTTTTTATGTTTACTACATACTTTTAAGTATTTAGCAATAAAATCCAATTAAACGACACCTCACCCTATATTATTTATCCTTTTCCAAACAAAGTCCCGCATTTTTGCTGTTTGTGTCATTTAAATTGTGTTTGGTCTAAGCGCCTGCATATTTATATAATAAATTATAATTTATTTGTACGAATGCCTGTTCATAAAATATGATTACCGAGCACTTGAGCGTTCGGCCAGCAAAATGTTTATTTATTATTTATTTCCCTTTGTGTGCTATTCATTATTTATTTGCTTTTCTGTGTTGCTTGACTCGATGCGACTTTATTAGGTTCAGAATGTCCTGCACACGAACTGTTTTGCCTTTGGCTCTGCCTTTGGATTGTTTATTCAATTTATTTCCCATGTAGTGTAGGAAAATTAAATTTAATTGTGCGGAGAGATTTTTTGAAATATATGTGTTTGTGGAGAGAGCACCAAACAATATTAGAATTATTTATGGCCCAAGAATTGTAGCTAATATTTTGGCTCTGGTTTTTAGTACACCCAAAGGACTGGAGGATGTATCTTCATATCCGACTCTATTTGCTGAACTTCTTGGAGGCGGATGGACCATCGATGAACTGACGAAATTAGCTGGAGGGAATTTTCTGAGAGTTATGCAGCAGGTGGAAAAGCTGAGGGACGACAAAAAGGCAGCGGGCATGAAACCCTTTGAGGATCATCCCAACTTCCGCACTGACGATCCCTACAATTGTACATCCAGCTAATTGAGCACTGGACCCAAAAACACTGAGGTTGTACCAGAAATGCCGGGGAAGTCCCCAAAATCATAAGCAAAATCGATTGAACTCCTGCTTCACATGTAAAATGGATAAAGTTATGTAGCAAATTTATAAATATGAATTTAACTAAACTACAGCATAGTCGTGTACGATTTGTATAAGCTTTAGGTACATAACTTTAGGATATAACGATATTTAAAAGCCTGAATATTTGGCCGAAGAAATTATTTCGTCTTTTCTCCCTGGTAATCGAATCGAATTTCTTTTAATTTTTGTGACAATCTACAGACTGCCAAACAAGAAAAAACTTAACTATAAACAGCACAAGAAACCCACACAAATTTTCTGTACAATTTTTTTTCCACCCCAAATCAATATAAATCCCAGACTTGGTTTAATCATCTCCAACTGGACCAACAAACACTAATTTCTGCCTCTCCGATTTTTTAAATTATTACACTAATTTACACGAAAACTACATATCAAGTATGTAATAAACTAAGATACAAAAATATTATAATGAATTATATAAAGGTATTTAATTTTTTGCATTTAAATTTAATGCAAATACTTGTGAGTGGGAAAGCATACACTTAAAAATAAATGAGTAAAATTAAATAAATATTACATGATTAATTCCAGCTAATGGCGGACATAAATTAAATGTTTAGTTCAATTTTTAAGCAGTTTGAAGCCGTGAAAACTGAAAGAATGAATAGCGTAATATATACTAAATTAGCTCGTAAGCAAAGTGTGGGCGTGGCACCGCCTGCCACACGATAAATTGTACATAGATTTCGAGCGGAATAAGCATAGGAATAATTTATAACAATATATATGAACATATAGAAGTCACGATTTTTCCAACAAATTTCCCCACACACACACAAATAGATCACGTCGCTCTGTCAGTCAGTCTCTCTGTACCTTCTAAACAAAAACAAAATGAAACACAAGAAGAAAAACCTAGTAAAATTGCGTCTAGCCTAAGTAAAGAAATTATACATACTAAACCAATTATTGCAAGCCGAAAACAAAAAACCCAAGACAAACTCAATAATTGTACATTTTTCTAAACCGAAACCCAATAACAAATGATGAAACTCTCTACAAATATTATACATTAAATATATATATGAGAATCTATTGTTACGTTTTGTACGATTTTGTATGTGTATATAGCATTTTTACCTATGCTCTTATTTGTATGGTCATTATATAGTTTTCTAGCAAACAATTCAAGCGTATTATTGTACTGGGTCTGATGAGCAGAGTTGTTGGTAATCACATAGTTTTTAGTCTGGCCTGGAAGGTCGAAAATAAATATCTGTAAAGTTTATACAAATACGAATATGGCTAGATATAGAGAATAAGCCGAACTAACATAGAAAGACATGCATATATACACAGAAACTCGATTCTCCAAATGTCTTATTATTTATTTGATCTCCTCTTTGGTTGGAAATTAAACAGAAACAAAAAACAATCTCACACACGCATATGTAAAACCAAATTGTAGTTAAAAACTTGAAAATGGTAAAATGTTTAGCGAATAAATCTCAAAAGGCAAGCAAATTGCAGTAAATATAAAAACAATTAACGAAAATCCATCGGTTGTTTTATTGCTAGTTGACCATTCTAATTTGAATTTTCGCGCCATGGTTGAAAACGCGTTAGTATCAACGTTGGAGTGCTTTGTTATTTTTGGTATATATCCGTTATGTGTAAAAATATCGATGATTGTAGAGTAGCGATGATTGCAGAAATCGATTTAATACTAAGACCATTTTCTAGAGATGGTCACACCATCGAATCGACAAAAATAAAGAACTTTTGGAATTTCTAAAAACTTAAAAAAAAACAACAGCCGGTGCATGTGTGAGGATCTGGGGAAATCAGAGACCCACTGCCACATCGAATGGCGTCAGAGGATCGGGATGGGGATAATGTTCTCCAGCTGCAACCCGAGGCAACCGGGAAAACTGACCAACAGCTGCTGCCCGAAGAAATCGAGCGGTGCACTGGTCTGAATTATAACGATTTTTACTGGCGGTACATGCACAAGAACTTCCCGGTTATCATAACCGACGTCTCCAACGATTGGGAGTGCCAAAATTGGACCGTGGTCCAGGATTCCACGGATCTCAACTCCAATCCCGGTCCACCTTCCATTAACTTCGACTACCTCAAATCCAGGATAACCAATTGCACGGTTCCAGTCGCCGATTGCAATTCATCGTATTTTAATAGTCACACAAAACTCGAGCTGAACTTCCACGATTACCTGGAGAAATGGCGGAGTGGCATCGAAAACCAATCATCATCAGCATCAACGCAGGAAGTCAATAGTAACGTGAATCCCACGACCAGGGATAATCTCTACCTCAAGGACTGGCATCTGGCTGCCCAAATGCCGGGCTATAACTTTTACAAGGTGCCTAAATACTTTGCCTCCGATTGGCTCAACGAACAACTGATTGATGAGAAGAAGGACGATTATAGATTTGTGTACATGGGACCCAAGGACTCGTGGTATTTCTTTATAATTTAATAGCATTAATTTACATTTATTCAGTAAATTAACTTATCATTTTAGGACCTCCTACCATTCGGATGTGTTTGGCTCATTCAGCTGGTCCACCAATATAGTTGGCCTTAAGAAATGGTTAATTATGCCTCCGGGAGAGGAACTAAAACTGAACGATCGTCTGGGAAATCCGCCCTTCAGCATAGACGAGAAAATGCTCGACGAACACAATGTGCGATACTACACCATCAATCAGCGGGCCAACGAAGCTGTTTTTGTGCCCAGTGGCTGGTTCCATCAGGTGTGGAATCTGACGGACACCATTTCCATCAATCACAACTGGTTCAATGCCTGTAATATATCGATGGTCTGGCAAAACCTGAAGAATAACTTGAAGGCCGTTTGCAAGGAGATCTCCGACTGCCAGCAGATGGATAATTTTGAGGCGCACTGCCAGACAATGCTGAGGGCCAGCTTTGGCATCAACTACCTCGATTTTATAGAACTCCTCGAGTTCATTGCCGCTCGCCGATTGGCCGAGGATACCGCAGCCACCAAATTTTTACTATTCAATAGGTATAAAATGAACGATTATCATGTGCAATACGATCTCGAGTGCTTGAGGAAGATAACGAGAACACTGACCGAGGATTCGACCATCCAGCGAAGTCCCCTTGAATTAGGAAGTCGCTGCCAGCAATTGCTCGCCCGTTTAGAGTTTTAGTCGTAGTACACGAAAAAGGCCTTGGCATATTTTTATACCAAACTTGTATTCATATACAACCGATAGTCGTAATATTTTAATATAAACATTTAAACACCAACTACTCGCCTTCGGGCCAAGTGAACTCTCCATTTGTGGGTTCTGTTCTCAGCCACAAGCATTGATCGATGACCTGGAAGCCCAGCTTGCTGAACATTCCCGAGGAGGGTTTATTCGAATGGCCCACTAGGGCCATTACATCGTGACCTTGAGCAGCAAGGCGATAGGAAATCTCCCTCGTTACCACACTGCCAAATCCCCGACGTTTGTGGGAGTCTCTCACTTGAAGGGCTCCCAAGTAGCCGCCCTGTAATCTGATAAATATTTGAATTAGACAATAAGATAATAGGTGGGATTAGAGTCTTGAATCATACGCACCTGATGCACCAGGCCACCAGTTGTTGAGTGTCTTCCTGATACAATCCCACACTGACACACATCTGTATCTGTCGTTCTATGAAGTATAGAGATCCCAGGTGATGATTGGGCCACTCTTCGTTAACCAGAGGAGCGTCTGATACACTCAACGATCTTAGAACAAATCCAACTGGTGCTCTAGAAAGCGTAATCATTTGTAGATGCTTCTTTAAGTTATAAATCAACTATTTCTTACTCCACTTTCAATTTAAGAGCCTCTTTCGCCTTCATGTAGAACAAATCCGTGGGATCCCTGAACAGCAATTTCAACTTTTTCGACTCAACAACGCTATCCAGAGCCTCAATATGTCTGGAGGGTATAGAACTGCATTTCAACCCTTTGGACCAGTCCACCAAATCCAACGCCTTTTGTACCAGACCGTTTGTGTTGTTTAAACAGCCAACAAACAGTTGATAGCGATCCTAAGAGTTTATAGCCTCTCTTAGAACTTGTTTACTCGCAGATAAAACACTGAAAAGTATTACTCACCACAATAACAAAAAGGCCCTCATCTCTGGCTTGTTTAATGGGCAACGTATATATTTGCAGGTGCTTAATGAGGGGATTCTTAATCAAAAACCCTATAAAGTTATCCAGGCAGTAGTATTCCTGGCAATATTTGGGCCAGTCTTGTTTGTAGAGCCCTTGAATCTCCTGGAGATCCGACAATCCAATAATCTGCAACTGGTTGCACATTCTTCCGCGCGAAACAACCTTCCTCAACAAACAACTCAGCTGAAATGGATTAGATTAAAAAACTTAGCTTGTTTTTGAATTTCTCTTCTGATAATTCTCTTGCTATCAATATTTTCTCTTCACGGTCGCTCTTAGCACAAACAGTAATAAAAACGTCTAAGCCTTTTTGATTTACATGCATAGAAACAAGTATCAGTAGCCGCTTATCTGACTAACCCCCTTGGATCTTTAGTTAATAGAAACAAGTATCAGTAGATTTTTTATCTTATTAATCGCCTTGGATCTTTAGTTAATAGAAAGTTATATCATAAGATACATTATCTTATTATTCTACTGGGATCTTCAGTCAATAGCCAACGACACTCATCGTTGATTTTAAAGCCCAGTTTTTTGAAAAGAGCTAACGATGCTATGTTTTCACGGGCAACTTCGGTGATAGTATCCCTTTCCTGCAGAGCTTCTCGCTTGGAAAACTCCTTTACAACTAGAGCTCCAAGTCCTCTTCGTTTGTAGGAAGGTTTCACTTGCAGAACTGACAGTAAACCATCCTGGGCTCTGTAAAGAAAGGATTGTACTATTTTATATGAATTAAGGGTTTGGTTTTCACATATTTACCTAATGCACCAGGCCACCAGTTCATTGTCTTCGTCTTTGAACAATCCCACACTGGTGTTACAGGAAATGTGGCGTTCATTGAAATAAAGAGTTCCCTGATCTGTCCACTCCCATTGGGAATCAACAAATGGAGCATTCTCCACATGTAGAGACCTTAAAGAAAATCCCACTGGTGGTCTAACGAAGTGTTGATAATTAGTATTGAAATATAAATATTTTTTGTTTACTCACTCCACTTGAAATTTCTTAGCATCTTCTTTGTCTAAAATCAAAAAATCGGTAACAGAATCAACCACAATCTTTAGTTTTTTTGTTTGAGCCAAATCGTAGGCCGCTTTGACACATCTCTTTGGCATGGAAGAAAACTGCTCGCCTCCAAAAAAGTCCAGTTGAAGTAAAGATTTATTCAGAAGGCTTTCGGATCCTTCAGTTTCCAAAAATCCGAGAAAAATGTGATAGCCATCCTTTACGATTCGTAAAGCAAACCCAAAAATATAAAAGTAATCGCGACCATTTAAGAATAACTTATGAAACTCCTACCACAATCACAAATATTCCAAGTTCTAGTTTGGGAAGAGCGTAGATTTTAACATCCTCCAGTTGAGGAATCTTTCTATGCAGATCCAGAAAAGTATCGATGCAGTAATACTCCTTGCAGTATTTGGGCCAATCTTGGGTGTATAGAGTTTTCAGATTCTCCATTTGCTGGACACCGATTTGCTGCAGATGCTCCATTTTACAGCCAGAATCTTAGTGATACAATTTAATTCACCTCACTTAGTTTTTAGTGATTAAGATTACCTAAAGAAAACTTACTTGTCTTTTTCGCTGAACGGTGAAAGCGTTTCTAACCATGATTCCCATGCAAGTCTGCTTGTAATTGAAAAACCATCACTACTGACAATAACTAGTTTGACGTAATTACAATCTGCCTTTTTCCCATTGATGCAGTGGGTGGCTGTGACCACAAAATACACGGAGGGCTCTGCTTACCAATCGCTAAACAGTCTTTCACTATCACTGGGAAATTTGTATATTGGCCGGCTGAAGCCGCAGTGTCCAGATTTAAAGCAACGCCACTAAATCGATTTGAGCACATGAAATCAATTAGGTCCACTTTTAACCAGTTATAGTGCTCTCCCCGGATCAATTTGAAATTCAGTTTCTCGAAGACCCGACAGGCCGCATTATTGTTCATATTAACCAGGGCAGTTATATCTTGCTTCAGATCGGTGGCAATAGCCTTGGAAATAGCGGCAGCTACTACTAATCCGAACCCCCGACGTTGATGGCTTTGGATTACTTCCAAAGCTCCGAGAAAGCCACTTTGTAGTCTGTGTAACAATTTGATAAGAAAATGATTTAGAGTTCTATAATACCAGATTCCATATCCTACCTCAAGCACCAAGCACACAATAAACCCGATTCCTTTTCGTATAAACCCACATTGGTATTATAGGTGATTAGCATTTCGACTAGTTTTAGGGATCCGGGATGCCGAGCTGACCACAGATTGTTTATGAGATCAGCGTGTTCCTGTCGCACTTTATCAAGATAATAACCCTCCGGACAAATGATCTCCAATTTTTCAGCCTCCTCGCATGTTAAACTATACATAATGGTGCTCATTTCACGATCCATTTGAAGGTTGAGTTCCGCCACCAGATCTTTGTAGATATAATGATGGGTCTCGTGAATCGCACTGACCTTAAAACCCTTGGACCAATCTAAGAGTTTTAAAGCCAACTCCAGTTCGGTTTTTTGTTTGCTTAAATTGCTGAAGAATAACTGATACCGATGCTGAAAGTAGCAAAAATAATATGCAAGTCTGCTTGTAATTGAAAAACCATCACTACTGACAATAACTAGTTTGACGTAATTACAATCTGCCTTTTTCCCATTGATGCAGTGGGTGGCTGTGACCACAAAATACACGGAGGGCTCTGCTTACCAATCGCTAAACAGTCTTTCACTATCACTGGGAAATTTGTATATTGGCCGGCTGAAGCCGCAGTGTCCAGATTTAAAGCAACGCCACTAAATCGATTTGAGCACATGAAATCAATTAGGTCCACTTTTAACCAATCTCAATCTACTCAATCTCTCGGAGTAAATGCCTCGAAATAAGAACACTTACGTGGTTGAGTTTTTGTAGGAAACTCAATTTATTTAGTTTTGTGTTCGACTTATATAGGTAATATTTCTATGAATCTATGGCCTACGCAGAGGCCGCGTTTACTGTCAAAGCGGGAGGGTTACCTTTGACCCCCGCACAACAACCTTTTGGTGTGTCCAAATCTTACAAGTGATAAATATATTTTTAGACTAAAATATCCTGTACTTAAAGCTATGAGTGTCAGCAGCACTCACTTATCGATACTTATTTATGGCTTAGGCCTGATGCACACGCGCATAGGTCTCAATAGTGTTCGTCTGAACACTCGGTCATAGATATTTTCGTAAGATGTTAAGATATCCCAAACTACTTTTATTTATTTACATGATGATCAGGTACAGGAACTATTGTATTTTATAACTCTACTTGGGTCCTCCGTAAATAGCCAATGGCACTGATCGTTGACCTTAAAGCCCAACTTGGTGAAGAGACCAAAAGATGCCTTGTTTTCAAGGGTAACTTCGGTGATGATATCTCTTCCCTGAAGCGCCTCGCGTCTGGAAAATTCCTTCACTACCAGAGCCCCAAATCCTCTCCTCTTGTAAGAGGGTTTCACCTGCAGAGCTGCCAGTAAACCATCTTGAGCTCTGCAAAGAAATGATTGTACTATTTTGTTTATGGTTCGGGATTTTGTTTTAATATATTTACCTAACGCACCAGGCCACCAGTTCGTTATCTTCGTCGTTGAACAGTCCCACACTGGTGTTGCAGAAAATGTGGCGTTGGAGGAAATATAGAGTACCCTGGTCAGACCAATCCCATTGCGAATCAATAAATGGGGCATCATCCACACTGAGCGACTTTAGAGAAAATCCCTCTGGTGGTCTAAAAAAATGTTGTAAGTAAGTTTTCAATCACTTCTATTTTATATTCACTCACTCCACTTGAAACTTGCGAGCATCTTCTTTGGCCAAAACCAGTGAATAGGTTTTGGAATCAATCTCTGTCTTTAGATTTTTAGCTTGAAGTACATCGTTGGCCACTTTGAAATATCTCTTTGGCATGGAGGAAAATTGTTCGCCCCCAAGTAAGTCCAATTGAAGAAGCGCCTTTTCCAGAAGGCTTTCGGATCTTTCACTTTCCAAGTAACCCACGAAAATCTGACAACGATCCTTCACGGTTCACACAATACAAAAATAAGTAAAAAGAGATCGCACGCATTTAAAAATAATATCCTACCACAATCACAAATAATCCGAGTTCTAGATCGGTAAGAGCGTAGACCTTGACATCTTCCTGCTGAGGAATCTTTCTGTGGAGATCCACGAAAGTGTCCAGGCAATAATACTCCTTGCAGTATTTTGGCCATTCCCGGGAGTAGACCTGCTTTAGATCTTCCAGCTGCTGGGCACCGATTTGCTGAAGGTAATGCATTTTGGAGACTGATTCCCAGAAACCCGCCAGTGAAGCAATTTATAGGGAGAAAATTATCTAATATCTTGGTAGACGCTTGATCTTGTTGTTTTGAACGTTTAGCCCTTGTAAACACTTGAATATCTTTATTAACTGTCTGGTACTGTTCATTGTAGGTATTATTCGTTGTTGGGCCAAGATATCTGGCCACCTGCCTTTGGCTTGATCATGCTCCAGTTATAGTGCTCTCCCCGGATCAATTTGAAATCCAGTTTCTCGAAGACCCGACAGGCTGCATTATTGTTCATATTAACCAGGGCAGTTATATCTTGCTTCAGATCGGTGGCAATAGCCTTGGAAATAGCGGCAGCTACTACTAATCCGAACCCCCGACGTTGATGGCTTTGGATTACTTCCAAAGCTCCGAGAAAGCCACTTTGTAGTCTGTGTAACAATTTGATAAGAAAATGATTTAGAGTTCTATAATACCAGATTCCATATCCTACCTCAAGCACCAAGCACATAATAAACCGGATTCCTTTTCGTATAAACCCACATTGGTATTATAGGTGATTAGCATTTCGACTAGTTTTAGGGATCCGGGATGCCGAGCTGACCACAGATTGTTTATGAGATCAGCGTGTTCCAGTCGCACTTTATCAAGATAATAACCCTCCGGACAATTGATCTCCAATTTTTCAGCCTCCTCGCATGTTAAACTATACATAATGGTGCTCATTTCACGATCCATTTGAAGGTTGACTTCCGCCACCAGATCTTTGTAGATATAATGATGGGTCTCGTGAATCGCACTGACCTTAAAACCCTTGGACCAATCTAAGAGTTTTAAAGCCAACTCCAGTTCGGTTTTTTGTTTGCTTAAATTGCTGAAGAATAACTGATACCTATGCTGAAAGTAGCAAAAATGTTAAAAATATTTCTTAAAACTTATTTAAAAGTGTCTTACCACCAATATAAACAATCCATCGCTTTGCCAATCATTATCCAAAGTATAAAAGTTGAGGTAGCCTAAACTCGGATTCTTTTGCAGCCATCTCAAGTAATTATCTAGCCAGAAGTATCCAACGCAATTACTGGGCCAATCCTTCAGATACAATTTCTGCAGATTCTTCAGATCGGCGGTGTCTGTGATCTTTGTCAGCTGTTTTACTGTTGCCATGTCGGGGGGTAATACTATACTGTTTTGTTGTGACGTCCCTCCTCATTTGTTTTTTCCTTTCGGGCTTTTTGATAAGATGTGAGAGTTATTTTATAACCTTGCAAGGTATTATAATTCATACGATTAGGGCAGTAATCAGTTTGTCTACAAACTATTAGTTTAAAATCTAAGAGGCATTAAGCCGTTAGATTTCTTAAGTCTCGAAAATTTTTTAAATCATGTACATATCTGCCGCAAAACTAGTTTGTTTATTTACTTTTACCTCACGTGTTGTGGGGCCTAATTGTGGAAATGTAAAAATGCCGGTTGATTTAATTAATAAGAAATCCTTTGAAAATAGTTTTCAAAATTTCTATAATCCAAATTTTCATATTTGCCAGGCCAAATCATTTTTTATTTAATTTTTATATTTTTAAATAAAGTTTTTAATAAATGCTATAAAAACGTGTAACTAATAGTTTAGAATCGAGCTTCACTGTACTTTACTAGAAATATGTTGGCTTGAGTCCGAGATGAATAGTGAGTAACAGTACCTTGGAACCCCGCTAGATATCTATCCGATTTTCACACCAGGTATCGAAACATTGCTTTCGGTATTTTGCTGGCTGAGCAATGTATTTTTAGGGGTCAAAGTATATCCCTTGGTTCCGAAAGCAGTCACACTGTAGAAACGGAACGAAGAAGACACGGGCGAAAAATACAGATACTTTTCGGGGAGGAGATACTTCTTCGTATTCGTGCGTGCTTTCGTCGAGTGAAATTGCACAAATTGACGGAATTGCACACTATCGAGCGGACAATCCGTTGAGTGCCATCGCAGATCGAAAAGTGCAATTACTGAGAGCGTGTGTGCGATTTAGTGAGTGTGTGTTAGTGTCACCTAAACCACAAAAAAGAGATAACGGAGAAAAAAAGCAAAATACTGTGAAAGCAAACTACAAAATATGCTTAAACTACGGTTTAGCCAAACTGCCAACTAGCCAAAAGTAACCAGCACATCGAAAATAGCCAACAGCAGCAAATCAAGCAAGAGGTAAATAATTGCCATGGGCAAAAAAGGAACAAATAACTGATGAAATATTTAGGGCCCTGTTTGACGACTTTCTGGTAATTGGAATTCCCTGAAACGTTTCGCTTGGTGTTTGCATAAATTACAAAGGGAAAATAGTTGCAAATGCCATTGATAAATTCATTGGGGAAAGGCATATTATTCCGAGAATCGAGCATAAGGGGAATCGGCTATACAGTAATAATATATATTTACAATATATATATATTTATATACGTTCGCCGCTCTGTGGGCCCAAAAGAGCGATACGAAATTCCCAGAAACGCATTTTCTAATTTAGACCGATTTCTGAGAAGTGACAGACAGCCCAAGCGAACCAGCAGATACAAAGATACTCGAACTCTCACAGATACACAAGCGCGCACAAACACACACACACAGCGAGTGGTTCGTGCGCCTGTGTGTGTGTTTCAGTGCTGGTGATGTTGGCAGCTGCCGTTGTTGTTTTTGTTGCTTTTGTTGGCGGTTCGGGCTATTGAATGAAAAATGCTGCTGCAAACATTTAACACCGCAAGCCAAGCTGAAGCTGGCCCTCACACAGGCTCGCCCAAACACACACAGACACAGATGCGAGCGCACGAGCAGATGCGGATACAGTGGAGCCCCGCTTTTGTTTGTTTTCCAAAAAAAATAAATAAATAAAAAACAATGATTGAGTCACATTCCACTCTCTGTTTTCTCACGCCAAACATAATCATATCAAATATCTCTTATAACATGAGCTGTCAAAACTTAATTTTATTAACCCTTGCTTGGGGTCTTAATGTATGTTTTGATTTTTGAAAGTTTTTAATAAAGTTTAAAATTGATGAAAAATGAACTTAGTTTGTTATCAATGTTTAGCGCATAATGTTTACAAGCGCAATAAATACTGAAAAACAAAAGTTATAATATTTAAATAAATTAAAGTAAAGTAAATTTTTAACATATGTACAAATATGATCAGTAGTTTGGAAATATTTACACCTAGGATATATCGAGTCTTCACCGTACTTGCACTACTGCTCTCCCATCCGCACCACTACCAACATCGAGACCCGGTTGCTGCTGTTATAGCCACATTGTTGTTGTTGTTGGTCCTCTGTTGTTGGCCATGGCTTCTTGCTAAAGGTGTATGAATGTAAAGGTGTAGCCGCTGAATTCGGCCGAAGCCGTACAACAACAATGGCCAATGAAAGGGGGAAGGGGTGGAAGTATTGGTAGGAGAACATGGGAACATCGCCGTTGTACCCTTCATAAGAAAAGGTGTTATTAACTTCGTTTGTAATGCGTCAAATTGTTGTTGCCCCTGTCTGTGTGTGCACTTTTTTTTTGATTCTTGGTAAAAAAAAAAACCCGCTTTTACCATCTTCTTCCGCTCATTTCCTTGAATTTTCGTATTAAACTTGAGAGCGTTTTCAATTTTTTTTTTTTTAATAGCTTTTCACGTGAAACGGTTTCGAACACAGGATAAGTGCACTCTGAGTGTTGGAGCGAGATGGCAGCTGCAGTCTAGAGAGAAGGAGAGCAAGCGAGAAAGAGCGATCTTGCCAAATGCCAAATTGTCTGCCCAGCAACAAAATTGCTACACCTCTCTCTGTCTCTGTCTCTCCTAACTCACCTAATCATAGGTAGACTATTGCCCTCCTGCTTTTACCTCCACCCCCTCTCGCCTATTTCATCCCATTGTTGTTTTTTTTCCTTTATTTTTCGGATGAGATTTTTCGTTGGAAATTTGATTTTGTTCGTTTATTGTTAATTGTTCGCGTGAATTTGTTCAATTGAAACGCAATGCCAAAAGTGAAATGTGGGCAAAACACTCAATTGAGAGTGTGTGAGTGGATCTCGAGTGGGTTTACTAGGGAAACCAAAGGGGGCGAAATATAAAGATGTTTTATAGAGAATTGCCATTAACGGAAAAACACAAGCGCACATGTTTCTGTTTACAGTTGTAAAGCCACAAAAGTGCTTCCATAAGTTACACTTACGACCGGATTCCCCAGAAATTATTCCATATATAAACACATTAAAATTCAACTAAAAATACTTATTAAATTTTTTTTTTGACTTAACTGATTCTATAGAAAATCAGTTGATTAGAATCTACTGAAATTACTTTGTAATTTGGCATATGTAGTTATACAGAAAGTTGTAAGGTTTTTCCGCTATACAGTCCAGAGGTATTTCCTGTAATTAGATGAGGAAAAATTCTATAATCTGCATTTAATTTAGTTGCTCGTGAGATCTTTTCAAGATCGTAACATCTAATTTGTATAAATTTTTGTAACAAGCTACATATGTAGAAAGGCAAGCCAGATCTTTTTAATATTTCATGAATTTTACCTATAATGCTTAAAATATTTATAAGAAAAGCAACTTCATAACGAAAACCAGTTCAAGTGTGGCTTATGTAAATTTTCTTTATTTGTGCTCGCGTTTCGAAATCCAAAATCCCTGGGCGCTGACACAAGCCATAAGTTTGTTTGTTATGACCAATAGTTACATATATCTCTCTGCTTGACCTTACCCCCTCCCTTTCCCCCATATCTCCTTATCGTTATCTCTGCCGCATGTCAGGCAGCCCACCCCCCTCGAAAACCGCCCGCATTACCCCATTAAACCCATGGTTACGTACATATTTGCTTTTCCCTGGAAAAGCCAACGAAATGCTTTTGATTGTTCTTAGAATTTTGTTTCGTTTGAACTTTGCAAACGTTTCTGTTGATAAGCGAGTGTGTTTGCGATTGTACTGAATGGGGAGGGGGCGGTGGGTGGTGGGGTGTCTAGTGTTGATTTTGTGGTTCGTAGTAATTTATCAATGAATTTTTATAGAGGCTTGTGCAATCTCTTTTGAAGATCGTGTGCCTGAATTACGTACGTATTCGCAAGGGACGCTTTAGTTCTTTAGCTATTCGATTCCGTAATCGCTATATTTAAAACTATTTAATCAATCACGTTTACGACCCATTGTTAGCTGCCGTATCGGTGAATAAAATGGCAGGTTTCTGCCCAATGGCGTTCAGTTAAGAACTCAGCCCGAAGCTAAAGGCAGGTAAATTGAACACTTTAATTTAAATTGCTTGTTTGCGAGTAATGGTAGAAATGCAGTCACGTTCCTTGCGATAAACCTACCTCAATAATGGTTTTAGAAAGTTCAGAACAAGTGATAAGTGTGGGTTTAAACACTACAATAAGTGGATTTGAAACTATAATACCTAGAAATTTAAAGAAGAGCTTGATAAACTTGTTTTTCCACAAAAGTCAATAGAAATACATTTTGATTATAACACCTTTCTTGTTCTTAATCCCATAAAATCTGCATGACTTATAGATAAATTATAACATTTACTTTGTTCTATATCTATACACACCTTTCACGATAATCTCTTTTGAATAGGCCTTGAGATAGGTTCAAAAACCTCTGGCCACATATGTAAGTTATTCATGAAATCAGCGCATCCGCGAGTGACCTTATCGTTCTGAGAGCCATCATTCAAGATAATACGATTATGATATCAGAAAGCTACCAAAACAAATCTGACACACACGCCACACAGCCATAGTTCGCGTTCCGTTCGTGGCCATAACTTCAGCTCAGACCAAACAAAAGGAGCCCGTCGGGCACAAAAGTATCTAGGGAAACCATCTTTTTATTTTGGCCAGGCCAGAATAAAAAAGAAAACAACATTCGGGCCTAACCCGGACCCGGAGCGAATTAAGTTGAATTTTTGTTAGTGCTTTCGTTTAATCAGAAAACCGCACACAGACACACCGACACACACAGATACACAGACAGAACTCCATGACTTCACCGGCATGTGAGTACCGTGTGCATATTTTCCAGGAATTTTTCCTCCAGTGTGAGAGTGCGATGGATTTATCATGGAGAGACGGTTCGCTGTGTGCGAATTTCCAAGAAATCGCCTCTTTTCACATTAAATGTTAATATTATTATTTTCGTTATTATCGTTTTTGGGCCTAGATAATCAGCACCTCTCTTTCTCTATCTTCCACCTCCTCGTGATAACAAAAAAAGAAGAGAGGGCAAGGCGAGATAAAAATTCGAGCGCAAAGCGTAATATAAACAGAATGATTCCTACGTCAATGGAAATATTGTATCTTAAGAGCCAGCCGAACATAATCAGTCACGAACTTTGTTCGTATAGATACATTAAGCTCGTGCCCCGTGCGATTTTACTGGAAATACTAATTAAAGTTCCATATACTCGTAAGTTCGGATGCCGAATCGCCACAATGAGAAGCGTTTGTTTGTTTATCACTTTTCTCCCGTAGCGCAATGAATGGGCAAGTTTGCGAATCCGAGAGCCCAAAGCGTAATAAATAAATCTCATTTCAATTTTCCTGCGAAAAAATACAAATATCAAAATGAAATACACTTTCTCAGGATCCCCGTTCCATACCCCCGATCCCCAATCCCCATTCCAGTTTCTCTTTGGCACTTTACTGCTCCGCTTTGCATGTGATTTTATTTTCAAGCGAACTTCATTTGCGAATTCCCAGTAAATGCAAAACAAAATGGAAACAAAAAGAAAAAAAAAACCCAAAAAAAAGAAGCGATGTCGGCAGCTACAAAAAGTAATTGAATTCGCTTTAAAATCCTACGCCTCTGCCCCTCAAGTTCTTCGCTTCTGAGTCGCTGGCTTTTTCATCGCTGTTGTCGACTTTTGTTGAGGTTTCTTCTCATCGGGAGTTTCCTCGACTTGGCAACAGGGTTCATCGAATTTTTCACAAGTTTTGCAATATAATAAAATATTTATGACATCTTCGTGACCGTGTTGTTAACATGACTCGTGGTTGTTGGTCCTAATAAACAATAAACTTCTGTTCTTTAAGATTTATATAAATATTTTACTGATAAATTTCTTTGGAATTGCAAAATTCATTTAATAAATAAGTTCCACCAATTCAATTTCCTAAAATTTAAATGTATCTGAAAGTAACCAACCTCTATGATACTTTTTGTAAGATATCAAATTTATTTCATAGAGTATTTAAATGTTCGTTTTACCTCTGATTTGTGCTCCTTTGCGGGTTTCGCTTTTTATTTTTTGCACTAGCCCACATTCCGTCCCCCATTCGCCCCGTTGACCGCAATTCATGCTGCTTTTTGCTTTTGCTGCTTTGTTGTGACAATTTCTGCGTAAAACATAATACATACAGTGGGCCAGGCAGCTATAAGCCATGACTAAGTTGTTGGCCAAGTGGCTGGGAAGGTTACAAAAAGTCATTGCGAGTGGCCGGCTTCAAATGGTTTTTTAATAACGGGCCTTGAAGGGGCGCGGTCCATGTACAAAAATTATTCACTCACAGATAATGAGATTGGATTCGGATTGTTTCGGCTTGTGGAAAAAAAAAGCTTAAACATACAAATTGGCAATTCCTATATGAGCTCATTATTGTAACCCAACCCTCATACCTGTAGTTACCTATCTAAATATTTATTTATAAGGCTGTGAACCTATTGGAAATACACGTTTTTGTGTCAAATTATCTGGTCAATCCACTTAATTTTTCTGTTTATAATGAAATATTAATTCAAAGTATAACGAAACCTATTTTGGAATTAAATTAAGTTTGCCTACTTTTGGATTCACACTTTGCATATAAATGTTAAATAAATGCAAATAAAATTCACTTTTCCTGCTCCAAATTTGTATACATTGTTTCTGTTAATTTTTTAAAATATATTTTGGATATATTTCACTGAGTTTTTAGGGGGTGAATCCCCCCATTCATTAGAGAGGTGGAGTCCCTTATTAGCCATTCAAACCACTTCGTGTTGTTGGCTTTCTTCTCGCCCATCCGTCTGTGCCCGGCAACATTTATCAACATTTTTACCCCGAACAAGTTATGTATTAGATCATTATCCGCATTTGGATTTCTGACGAAATTTCGCATTGTCTGCAACGGCGCAGAAAAACTTCAGCTGCTCGTTGGCTCCGCGTGGCAACTCAAAGAAAACAAAAAACAACAACAAATATAAAAGAAAAGAGCGGAGAGCGGACAAAAAGTTCAGCTCGACGAGCCCTCGAAAATGCTCGAGCGATAAAAATGCACGCGGCAGTCAGTCAGTATGTAGTTTACCCGGAGTTTCGATCCCTCAGACAGCCTGCTGCTGCTCATTGTTTGAGTGACTCATGGAACGCCTTGTCCTACCTACAGATACTCCTGATGCACTAAGCGAAAAAAGTGGTGTTAGGTTGAGATAAAAAGATTGTTGAATGTGAATTGATGAATTTTTTATCATTATGAATTATACGATTTTTTCACTTTATCTTATAATTCCCAAGTAGTTTTTCAGTACTCGTTTTAACTCGTTTTTAAATTTCAAAGTTTTTTGTTATAAATATTTAACGCCCTTTTCTTTTAATTTACACTTTAAACTAAGACACATTTTTTTTTTAATTTAAAGACGCTCTCCTATTTTCCCAGTGTTTTTACCCAAGCGGATCCAATCCCTCTTGTACGTCCCGAGCTCGGTTTATCTGCCGTTTCAGTTTTGTATTTCCATTGAAAAATTTTGTTAGCAGGCTGCCGTCTCATGCGGGTCTCTTGGAATCTGAAGTTGAATCTCGAGTTCAAGTCACTCTTTTTGTATTTCATCATAGTCGTAAATACACAACAAAGGTTGCGGAGTGTCTGACTCTCTCTCGTTTAGAGGAAAAATAATAATTATCAGCGGTTAAATGCGAACGATCATGTCATACAAAACGTTAGCCAGAATGTATTGATTACTCACCGGATTGAATCGTACGATTCGAATGCGATAAATTGCCTGTAGCACGTGCGGCACGGAGTCGTGTTTTTTTTTTTTTCGAAAAAGTATCTTTATCTATAAGTGTTGGCAAATTACCGTTAGACGGCCGGTGTTCGGGCCAACGGTGAATACAAATTGAACGACTGGGGGGCCCCATTATCCATCGGCCACTCTATAATTTGACTAAAAGTGCCCCCACACACATATCTTTTTCCAGCTAAAACACTTAATTTATGAAATTTTTCAATTCTCATTAAAAAGCTGCAAATTTTGACGGTTTACCATTTACGGGCCGCATTTCCGGGAAGTTACCTTAATATTTTCCCTTCGATTTTTGGGAAAAAGTTGTGAAAACATATGCACTGTTAATTGCTTGGATTGTTCGACAAGGTCCGCTGTTTGATTAGGTCCAAACATACTGGCATACAACTCGCTAAGTGATTAACACAAGGGAATTCCATGGAAATCGTTCAGGGCTGATAGCTGAGGTCGAACACTCGACCGATAACTAACGCCTCTTTCCCCCTTATAAAGTGATATATGTTTGTATGTCCGTCTGCAATCATTGTTCCAGCGAAATCTCTATGCCCACCCCAAATCGAATCTCTATGGGCTTGGAAATTCTGCAAAATTTTCTACTGCAATTGCCGCAGGATTCCCGGAACTGATAAACAATATTTCTGTTTAAGCCAACCCCTCGATGTACGCGTTGATTACATTTCGCGGCCTCGTTCTTGGTAATTCCTAATTAATCGCCCCAATAAACAGTCTTGATTAAATTAGTGCGAATACTGTATTTGTAGTGAGGGGTAAACATTTTAAAGAACTTTAAGGGGCTACTTAAGTTTGGGTTTAAATGGAATCAGAAAGTGATAAGAAAAATTGTCGAATTAGTTCTGGAAACTACACCAATTACATTGCATGTTTTTTTTTTAAATTCCACGAATGATCGAAAAATACAACTGTCACAATTTGAACTGAACCCTGTTGTTTATTTTAAAAAAATTTAGTTTTCTTCGAAATCCAAATCAGGGATTTTTTGGGGTAAAATATTTAATAGAAATAAATGTTAGTCATGCGTGGCATTAACCCCAAAAAACGCAGTTCATTACTGGAATCATTATAACCACACGATGACTGATCACAAACGATTAATCAGAGGCCTTTTTCGCCAATCAGTGATCTAATTATTTCGTCATTCAAGGAAATAGCCACCTGCAGTGCAGAATTCGTATAGAAAACCACAATGACATTGCTCATAGCTTTTACAATTTTTTTTTACCCCGATTTCGGGTAACTACCAAGAATTTTATAACTATCAGAGGGATGAGTCAGTTGCTCTTGCCTTTTTTGTACTTTAGCTCCTTCCAACTTCGCAACTAGATGACGCACTGCGGTGTTGTAGGTGCGATAAGGATTTGTCCGCGTGGAATTCAATTACTCAACGGAAAAAAGGAACTTTCCTGGTAGACAAAATGACGAGCCCACCAATAAAAGGCGAATTTATTCGTTGATAATAACAGATTTTCTGCGAATTAAGCTTTACTGTTGGCGCCGGTCTCCGTTTTCCGAGATAAGCCAACTTGACCCAGAAGACAGTCAGTCACATGAGTTTGGGGGCCTACGTGCATGACGCGTTGTGTACTTGCCTTCCACATTGATTTCGTTCAACTCTCCATGGGCGAGAGTCTCTATAAATAGGATGATCCCATTACAATTCGGTGTGTTTTTCTGTGTACTTGCTCTTCTGGGGATAAACGATGCGTGGGATTGGAATGCCATTGTGTATCGTCCTCATCTGCATGATGAGATCCCTCGATGAGTCAGTTCGTGGGGGATACTATATATGTTTATACATATCTCTCCACGGAAGATCTGCGGGGGAATAGCAATTAATCAGTAGTTAGACAAGGGAGCGGTTAATTGCCCATTTGACCGGCGATCGAGTCCCTTGGCCACTGGAACTTCTCCGTCTAAGTGGTTAATTAAAGCACTGGTGAAGCCCCCGCCAAGTGGCTCTTTGCTGTAGGTCAAGACATTTCACACGCCGCTGGGGAAACCGAATAAAACTCGTTCCACTTGGTTCCCAGTTTCCAGCTATTGAGCTCCCGGCTATTTCTGGATGTTGCGAAATGCCCGGAGAGCAAATATTAATCACAAAACATGCTAACTTAGCTAGTAAATAATTTAGTTAAAATATACGGAGTGTAATTATTAAATAGTAAATACAATAAAAGAAGGTGTATCTATTGATATAAACCAGAATGGTTGATTTTTTAGATTAAATATTAATATATTCTCTAAAAATATATTTTCTTTTTTAATAAAAAACTCCCAATTTATTTACCTTTACAGAAAAAGCAACCAGTACAAAATAAAAACCCCTCCCACCCGAAACAGATAATGGGTCATCACTTCAGCAAGCCGACTGTACGCAAGGATAAAAGTGATCTACCCCCAAGTGCGATCCCCCGGGAATCCCCCGCAGCAATAGTAGAGACAATCAGCCTGGTCGAGGAGCAGTTGCAGGTGGAAGAGATCCTCGCGGAGGCCACAACCACCACAACCACCGCAGCCAGCACATTGCCAACGGAAGTGCGACAGATAATAATTAAAATTCAACTGGCCAAAATGGAGAACGGCAACGCGATTGTTGGCCAGGTGGAAAGTCTGGAGGAGAGGAGGCAGGAGGAGGAGGAGGTGGAGGTGGAGCGATTGGAGGGTGCGAACGCCTCGTTGTCTGCGGACACGCTAAATGCAAATGGCCAGATTGTGAATGTGACGCTCGAGGGCGGCAATGGGGAAGTGGGCGTGGTGACAAATCGAACTGCTGGCAGTTCAACGGAAGCGCCAAAAACCGAAAGACATACCGTGAATAACAACAATTTAGCGGGAAGCGTCGGCGCTGCGATAAGTACGTTACAATTGCACGACGGTAACAGCAACACCAACAGCAATAGCAACAGCAACAGCAACAGCAACAGCAACAGCAACCCGAGTCCCAGCAGCAACATCAAGTCCAACAGCAACATCAGGCCTGGTAGTTATACCAACTACCCCGCAAACGAAGAAGACGACGACGAAGTGGATGAGTCGCTGCTGCGTTGGCGTCGCAGTAACAGCAACAGCAGCAGAGGCAGCAACAGCAACCGCAACAGCACCAGCAACAACATCCAGAGCCACGAGGCCGAAGTCGTCGAGTATTGCGAGGTGCTCGAGTCGCTGCCAGTCAGCAATATGTTGTCGGCGGGAACGCAACACACCAGCAAGCAAGGTGGGCGAAAAAGTCGAAAAATACACGCGAGTTTCTCTTTGAATTGAAAACTGCACAGCGAAAAATCATAAATCATAATCATAAATAATTTTACAAAATTAAAACCAATTGCCAAATGTTTAGTGGAATATCCAACTATTTTTTATAGCAATTTTCAAGAAAACAGCACATTTTAGTGTGAAAATCATTTGACTAGTGATTGATTTATTTGTGTTTTAAAAACATTTATGTAGTAGTAAATAAAAAGCTATTCATAGTTTTTTTAATTTCAAACGTTTTAGTTTGATATTTTTAATTGTTTTAGTGGTTCAATAATTCTTGTGTGTATTAAAAAAAAAAAAGCAAATGAAAGTGAAATCATAAACAACACAATGTAAAGTGCGCTGTTTCATGTTATCAGAATAATGAAAATTAGAAACCCAAAAAAAAACAATAACAACCAAACACAGAGCAATCGTTGAGTTAAATTATCAGATGAAAGTGAAATATTGAATCAACAAAAACCCAATTATTTTGAATCCTAAACATTTGATTAGAGATTTTACTAAGAACAAGCCCCCTATTTTTGCTGTGCACGGCAGACAAAAAATTAAAGAGAATCAAACGTAATCTCATCAAATTTAAAGTGAACCAAATTACTCATGAATTGTTTTCCCAAATTCAGTTTCCAGAAGCAATAACAGCAACAGTTGCTGCCGCAGTCGCAGCAGTAAGACATTATCCATGGGCGCGTCAATATCCTCGTACGCAGGACTCACCTCCACATCCTCCAAAAGGCGCTGCTGCAAGTGCAAGTGCCGCGATGCCTTCCGCGGGTTGAGGGACATGCTGCCCACATCCAGCAGCAGTTCGTCGAGCAACAAAAAGGATTCCAATGCGTCGACGGCATCGGTTCCCCGGAAATCCCGGACAGCGGATCGCCGCTCCACGCCGCCCACTTTGGGTTCGGCGAGTGGGAGTGGCCAGCATCGAGCGCAGGGCCAAAGGAAGCGCAATTCGGTGGCCGTTCCGGATGCGAGTCACCACCAGGTGGTCATCAGGATTACGTCGCCGGGATTCGTCGTGGAATCGCCCAGTGGCCGGTTCACTGTGGTCGCCGAATCATCCGCCGCTGTCGCTCCCCAACCGCCCCAGGCTCCCTCCCAGCCACGCCCCCTTTCGGTAGCCGCCTCCGCCGGAGTTCACGGAGGTCGCAACGTGACCGTTCACTCGCAAATCGACTTCATGCACTGCCTAGTTCCCGATCTCGAGAAGATCACGAATAGCACATTCTACTGGGGCAAAATGGACCGCTACGAGGCGGAGCATCTGCTCGAGGGCAAGCCGGAGGGCACCTTCCTGCTCCGCGACTCCGCCCAGGAGGAGTTCCTCTTCTCAGTCACATTCCGGAAGTACGGCAGATCCCTGCACGCCCGCATCGAGCAGAGCGGTCACAAGTTCAGGTGAGCAATCGTCTTTATCGGGGGTTCACATTTCCAAAATATTAGCATTTCCTAAACAGATTAGTGGTTCAACAAATTGAGGTCTAAATACAATGCAAATTAATTAAAAGAGTCATTAAAACTGGGAATTATTTGACGTTATGAAGTTGATAAGGAATGGATGAACAAAAATATAATGTTAAGATTGTAGAACATATTTTGCATACTTTAAATTAACTTTTTAAAGCTGATTGTAAAGAGAATTTATTTTATCAAAAATTAGGTCTAGCATTGTTACAGATAATTTAGAATTTTCTTGTTAAACTGAGAAATAAATTTGCAAATTAAAATGTTTACAATAACTAAAAATAGTTAGCTTACACTACAAATTAAAAATTACAAACTTTGATTAATAGAAAGAAAGAAATTAGTAACAAACCTATAATTATAAGCAATTAAAACATCTAACTAATGATACCCAATCCTCTTTACAGCTTCGACTGCCACGATCCATCGGTGTTCACCGCACCCACGGTGACGGGACTGCTGGAGCACTACAAGGACCCCGCCTGCGTGATGTTCTTCGAGCCCTGCCTGATGATGCCCCTCCACCGGCGGCAGACCTTCTCCCTGCAGCAGCTGGCCAGAGCTACGATCGTATCGAACACCAGCTACGATGGGATCAACCAGCTGGAGCTGCCGGGGCGGCTGAAGAGCTACCTCAAGGAGTACCACTACAAGAAGAAGCTGCGCGTGAAGCCCATCGACCAGAACACCCCGGTGCAGCTGTACGGCGATGCATAGCGGGAGGAGCAGCAGGTGGGCTTCACCTACTACGAGGACGTGGAGGAGAGCGGCAGCGAGGAGGACGAGGACGACGAGGCGGTGAACATCCGGGTGTCCTACGTCCAGCATGCCGAGGTGGTGGCCCAACTGCAGCAGGTCACCGCTGGAACTACAGCGAGCAGGTCCTCCAATCTGCAGGAGCAACTCAGCCGGTTGCCCAATCGCATGGCAGCCGCTTTTGGCCGGATGTCGGCCAATCTGAATTGTTACCACAAAGTCTCGACGCCGGAGCGCCGCTCCTCCTGATGGCCAACAGGCATCGGCCGAAGAACCCGAAACCAAAACTCAACCTGAGACAATCCCAGTGCAGCGTTTGCCGCCACCATAAGTTTAAAGATCAAACGGAAACCATACAAGCTATGAAGCTATAAAGCCACAAAACAAAAGTACCTCACTTGCTAACAACACTTGCAAATCAATGAAACTTATGAGAACTAATGAAAAGAATAATATCTCATCTAATGGAAGTAGATTCTACAGATTTCTTTGATTTGTTAGTAAAGCAGCGAAGTGTAGATTCATAAACGCATCTAGCTAATTGTACTATAAACATAGTATTATTAATTAAAGCAAAAACCCCTCTCCTACAATGTTAAGTATTGCAAAAAGGAAAGCTTTTTGGTTTCACAAGTATTTTTGTAATATTTCGTTGTATTTATTTTAAAGTATGGAATCTAAATTATGTGTAAATATGTTCTAGTTAGTGTAAAACTCTCATTAGCCAAATTTCCAAATGTAATTTTCACCTATTTATAAATATACCTTATTTATTTATTCGAAGTGATTTCGTTTCCCAGCGAGTGCTTTGTTTTTTACAAAAATTATCAGTTGTACACGTGTAGAGCATTTGTAAATATTATCCACTTCCGCATAAGCTACTAGCTGTATTAAATATAATGAATTATAAATCATGTATTCCTACCTAGGTGGTTGCTGTTATTCGTAAACATTCAATAAGCAGTTGTTTCCAAGACCTATTTAATGTATTTTACATATCCAAATGTTGATGAGCATGAGTATCAATATTCACAAAACAAAAAATTGAAAAAAGAAAGCCAAACAAATAAAGTTGATCAAGATATTAGCAAGAGATTATGTGTGTTATTAATTTAAGTTGTGGCATTGGGATCAGGAACTCGAAATTATTTCTAACAATTTTTAAATAATTGCTAAGAGTTCTTATATTTTTTTAATCAACCTGTAATAGCGATCCCATTTAATTTTGATATTCATTCACGAGTTGGTCCTTATCTTATGTACTTATACAGTTTGAATTTCCAACTATTCGTTTTTCAGTTATTTATCGATTTAAAACATCGATTAAGCAATATTTTTTAATCAACTGCATATCGATACGTGGGTCTTAATCGATTCTTTCTCCCACCACCAGTGGTAATGCACAGCTAACCGACATCTGGCCACACTCAATCAGCTCGCGTCCAAAAGTGTACTCACTTGGTTTGTTTTTTTCTCGGCTAAGCACCACCGACATATTCGAGAGCTATTGTCTGATCCGATCTGATCCGTTTTCGGATGATAGCTCTGAGCGCGCTGTTGACCAAATACACGATCGGTATTATGAGCAATCTAAGCAATGGCAGCAACAACAACCAGCAGCAGCAACAGCAGAACGGGCAGCCACAACAAATACAAGGAAATGAGGGGGGAGCGGGGGCGGAGTTTGTGGCACCACCGCCCGGATTAGGTGCTGCTGTGGGCGTGGCAGCCATGCAACAGCGACAGCGACTGCTGCAGCAACAACAGCAGCAGCAGCAACACCAGAATCCTGCCGCCGAAGGAAGTGGACTGGAACGGGGCAGCTGTCTTCTGCGATACGCCAGTCAGAACTCCTTGGACGAGAGCTCACAGAAGCACGTTCAACGGCCAAATGGCAAGGAGCGCGGCACAGTGGGTCAGTACAGCAACGATCAGCACACAACGCGGTCCTTCGACGCCATGAACGAGTTGAGAAAGTAAGAAACAGTGATTATTTTGTATGAAATACTAATTGGAATTCTAATATTCAATTGTCTTGATTTTCAAAAGTAGGTCTAGATAAGACCTTTCGAAATTTAAATTGTTAAGAACTGAAGAACTAACATAAAAGGGCTGGTTAGTGAATCTTTGACGGCTTCAACGTCCTACGTTATATTATTAATATTAAACAAATTCTACCCAACCGAGATAGTTAAGGATACTAAACATAAGGAGGTTCTTAAAAAGTTTATATCCAAATAGAATGTATATTCTCAAGTCGATTGTTTTTCACGTTCTGTTCCAAACAAGTTGAATTCGAAAAAAGATTCTGTTGCTATTTACCAACCTCGTTGCGTCATAAATTCATGATACATCTCATTTAAATGCCAAAATGTTTACCCACTCGTTTTATAACTGGTTTATAAAACCAATCAAAGGATTTTCCCACACTCTCTCTCTCATTTAAAAACATGAATTCGAAATTAACTTTTTGACCTACCTTAAAGTAAAATAAATAGAACTCTGATCATAGGTTCTATAATTAAAACACCTCCCTTTGTTCCCGAACAAAGGGGCCACGATTAAGTCCCTACAGTGGACAGGGACAGGTGGACCGTCTGCCTGTTGAGTTCTCTGATTTGGGCCAAGATGCGAAAATATAATCGCTGAAAATGTCGGACGATCGTCACTCACATATTTGCGCAGTTCGCTTTGTTTATCTGCCCGTTGCTAATATTTGTGTTTGCACACAATATTTGCCGACGCTTTTGTCGTGGGGCCATTCGCATTAATTATTGTCTAGTTTTTATTATGATGAGTCTTATACGCCTTCGGGTTTCGCATTAGGCCACGACCTTGAACTTGGTGGTGGGGCCAAAATTATTTTTTGGTTTCGAATCGTATTTTGATTCCGCTTCCGCGTCGCCGCTTTTGGTTATTTGGAAAACTACTGGCATCGTGGAAACTTTATTGGCAGCTTACATAAAACGAGTTTCTTCAACCCAATCGAAATCGGCGTCAAAAGTGAATGTGGTGTAACCCAAAAAGTAAACCGTGCGTTACAAACTGGATTCATGTTTATTGTTTGGGATTGCACTTAAACAAAGAACTCGGGAAATGCCTATTTATAGATTCGAATGAGATCTCTTTATGTTTGTCATCAAATTTTGCAGTTTACTCACAGCAAACAATATCTTCCTATTTCAGAAACAAAAGATCTTAAAATTTTGATCACTTTTTTTGATTTTGCCGCGCAAAACTGTGCAAACAAAGCAAAATAATTCTGATTTCATGAACACACATTCAATTAAAAACGTTTCCAGCCTTGAAGATATTTGGCACGCTTTTAAACTGTTTGTTTGCCAATCAAAACTGGCCATTACTATTGAACTTTAAATGTAGTCGACGCAGAAGTAATTAATATTGTTGATGAACGTAGTTTGTTTCAAGGCAGTAATTTTAAAGTTTGAAGATAATATGGTTATAAATAATTACTACAAATATCTTTATTTATTTTTCCCTTTAAATTTGCAGACAAAAACAGCTCTGTGATGTGATATTAGTGGCCGATGATGTGGAGATCCACGCCCACCGAATGGTGCTGGCATCCTGCAGCCCGTACTTCTATGCGATGTTCACCAGCTTCGAGGAGTCGCGGCAGGCGAGGATCACGCTCCAGAGTGTCGATGCCAGGGCTTTGGAGCTGCTCATTGATTACGTTTACACATCCACCGTGGAGGTGAACGAGGATAATGTGCAGGTTCTTCTCACGGCCGCCAATCTTCTACAGCTCACGGATGTTCGCGACGCCTGCTGCGACTTCCTGCAAACCCAGTTGGATGCCAGTAATTGCCTGGGCATCCGGGAGTTCGCCGATCTTCATGCCTGCGTGGAGCTCCTCAATTACGCAGAGACCTACATCGAACAGCATTTCAAGTGAGTGGCATGAGCTGGTTGCGATGACGCACTGTTGTCGGACGGATATAGACTTGTTATGATTTGTTTGCTAACAGATCGGAATCAATTACAGCATCTGTTTACTTTCAAAGTATACGTGTGTGGTGGGAAAGGAAATCTTTTTTAGTTCTAAAACGTAATTCCGATTGACTACTGAATCAATTTGCATTTGATTGAGAGGTGATTGCAAGGGAAAATTAGTAGCTCAGATAATAAAAAAACAAGATTATAAAAAATTGATTACCCAATATTAAGATTGCTAGGGCGTCAAATTAGAAAGCCATTTAAGCAGTCTATAATTTATTACGCTTTTAATAACTACTAATTTAATACAGTATTTATTATTTGTTTCACACGTAAAGTAAAATACTTTACTATCAAAGTTTTTTTAGTCAGTCATTCAAAAAATAGAAAGATTTTTATTTATAAGACAAGCACGTAATGCTGTCTACGAGAAGCTATGTATTTATTGACGCAGTTGTGGGTGCGATATATTCTATAAGATCACGTTTTATTTTGGGGAAACACTCTGATTGTTGTTGAAAAAAAGGTATCTAAATTACAACACCTACTGTTAAAAGAACTTTAGTCAACGATTTTCATTTCTTTAACTTTGTTTTTATATAAGTAACTTAGACTTTGGTCTGTTTAAACGCGGATGGGATCTTAAAATTAAGATAAAGCTTAAAAAAGTCACCGAATCGAAAGCAAATGAGCAATTAAAACATTAAACCAGTTTGCCGACGATTAAGTGAATTTCGGCTTGCTCCAATCCCCTCATTACTTGTGCCCCATTACTGACTGCCTGTCTTCGGTTTATTTCCAGCGAGGTGATCCAGTTCGATGAGTTTCTGAATCTCTCGCACGAGCAGGTCATCAGCCTGATTGCCAACGACCGGATTTCGGTGCCGAATGAGGAGCGCGTCTACGAGTGCGTGATCGCCTGGCTGCGCTACGATGTCCCCATGCGGGAGCAGTTCACCTCGGTGCTCATGGAGCACGTCCGCCTGCCCTTCCTGTCCAAGGAGTATATCACCCAGCGCGTGGACAAGGAGCTCCTCCTCGAGGGCAACATCGTGTGCAAGAATCTCATCATCGAGGCATTGACTTACCATCTGCTGCCCACTGAAACGAAATCCGCTAGAACGGTGCCCAGAAAACCCGTGGGAATGCCCAAGATCCTGCTCGTTATTGGCGGACAAGCACCCAAGGCTATACGCTCCGTGGAATGGTACGATCTGCGCGAGGAGAAATGGTACCAGGCCGCCGAAATGCCCAACCGCAGATGCCGCTCCGGTTTGAGTGTCCTGGGCGATAAGGTCTATGCCGTTGGAGGCTTCAATGGCTCGCTGCGAGTGCGCACTGTGGATGTCTATGATCCCGCCACGGATCAGTGGGCCAACTGCAGCAACATGGAGGCCAGGCGATCCACCCTGGGCGTAGCTGTCCTCAATGGCTGCATCTACGCAGTGGGAGGATTCGATGGCACAACGGGTCTGTCGAGTGCCGAGATGTATGATCCCAAGACTGACATCTGGCGGTTTATCGCCTCCATGTCCACGCGTCGCAGTTCCGTTGGTGTGGGTGTGGTTCATGGACTTCTATACGCTGTTGGTGGCTACGATGGCTTCACGCGTCAGTGTTTATCATCAGTGGAGCGCTACAATCCGGATACGGACACCTGGGTGGCGGTGGCGGAGATGTCTTCGCGGAGGAGCGGCGCTGGGGTTGGAGTACTGAATAATATCCTGTACGCTGTGGGTGGACACGATGGTCCCTTGGTCAGGAGATCCGTAGAGGCGTACGATTGCGAAACGAATTCGTGGCGTTCGGTGGCTGATATGTCCTACTGCCGGCGAAATGCGGGAGTGGTGGCCCACGATGGCCTGCTCTATGTGGTCGGTGGCGATGATGGCACCTCGAATCTCGCCTCCGTGGAGGTCTACTGTCCGGACTCGGACAGCTGGAGGATACTGCCTGCGTTCATGACCATCGGTCGCAGCTACGCGGGCGTGTGTATGATCGATAAGCCCATGTGAATGGAAGAGCAGGGTGCATTGGCCCGGTTAGTAAAATTACTATTTATGTTTCCTATATAAAAACTGATTTAATATTATTTTTCGTAACCAGACAAGCGGCTTCGCTGGCCATCGCACTGCTGGATGATGAGAACAGCCAGGCGGAGGGCACGATGGAGGGCGCCATTGGTGGTGCCATCTACGGCAATCTGGCGCCGGTTGGAGCGGCTGCAGCGGTTGCAGCCCCAGCTGCGCCGGCTCAAGCTCCCCAGCCGAATCATCCGCATTACGAGAACATCTATGCGCCCATTGGCCAGCCAAGCAATAACAATAACAACAACAATAGCGGTAGCAACAGCAATCAAGTTGCAGCCGTCGCCAATGTCAATGTCAATGCCAATGCCCCTGCAAATGCCGAAGAAGTTCAGCAGCAACAGCCACCAGCGCCAACTGAAGCCAATGCCAACAACAATCCACAACCACCAACAGCACCAGCACCAGCACCACCATCACAACAACAACAGCAACAACAACAAGCACAGCAACAACAACAACAGCCACAACAGCAACAACAACCACAACGCATACTGCCCATGAATAACTATAGAAACGATTTATACGATCGATCTGCAGCGAGTGGAATCCTTGGATCGAGTTCTGCCGCCGCCTACGATGTTCCGAGAGCCGTGAGATCTGGCCTTGGATATAGACGCAACTTTCGCATAGATATGCAGAATGGTAAGAATAAGTGACCCATTTACTAAAATTATTTTACTAAGCCGGCGAAGCATGTTAATTGCGTCTAATTAACAGTGATTAGTTACTTTTTAAAGCTTGATTTAAAGTCTTTATTAGTTTTACTATCAAACAAAAAAGAGGAATTTAAAATGGTATTGGTTCATGGTTTGTTTACCTTAGCAGATGTTAGTTTGACGCAAATAAACTTATCGGCATCAGCTTTCCTTGGTTTCTGTGAATTTAATATGCAAACTTTTTATTATGACGTTGTGAAAAGGCAAGCAGCGTACCATAGTAAAATATTAGTTACCAATGGCAAACGATGTTTAAATTAATTCATGATCTTTAATCAAATATTAAAGCAAACCTTGTGTGTTAAATGTGTTAATTTATTTTCCGCAGGAAGTCGCTGTGGAAATGGACTACGCTGCACTCCGCTCTACACAAACAGTCGCTCTACCAATTGCCAACGTCAGCGCAGCTTCGACGACACGGAATCCACGGATGGCTATAATCTGCCTTACGCCGGAGCAGGAACCATGCGGTACGAGAACATCTATGAGCAGATTCGGGATGAGCCGCTCTACCGCACATCTGCTGCCAATCGAGTGCCGCTCTACACACGTCTCGATGTCTTGGGTCACGGGATCGGAAGGATTGAGAGGCATCTAAGCTCCTCCTGCGGAAACATCGATCATTACAATCTGGGAGGACACTACGCTGTTCTGGGACACTCGCACTTCGGAACAGTGGGACACATTCGACTGAATGCCAATGGTTCTGGAGCAGGATCAGCCGGCGGAGCGGGAAGTACCACCTGCAATGTTCCCAATTGCCAGGCTTACATGGGAGGAGCCAGTTCTGCTGTTCCCGTGGAGTACGCCAACGTAAAGGTTCCTGTGAAGAACAGTGCCTCCAGTTTCTTCAGCTGCCTGCATGGCGAAAACTCGCAGAGTATGACGAATATCTACAAAACATCTGGAGCAGCAGCTGCTGCCATGGCTGCCCATAATTCCCCATTAACCCCAAATGTCTCCATGGAGCGGGCATCCCGTTCCGCTTCGGCTGGCGCAGCTGGAGTTGCAGCATCTGTGGAAGATCATTCCCAGGCGGATAATATTCCAAGCTCATCGAGTAGCAATACCAATCGAACAACGGGTGCCATTCCAAAGGTCAAAACGGCCAGCAAGGCGGCCAAAGAGTCTGGCGCATCCTCCACAGCTGCATCGCCAGTTTTGGACAAAACCATATCCACGGGAACTGGAAAGAGTGTTACTTTGGCCAAGAAAACTTCCACGGCACCAACACGTTCGAGTTCTTCCGGAGATGCCAATGGAAATGGAACTTTGAATCGCATCTCGAAATCCAGTTTGCAATGGCTTTTAGTCAACAAATGGCTGCCACTTTGGATTGGCCAAGGACCCGATTGCAAGGTAGGTCATTGTTTTTCTTATCATTGCGTTTACTCAACTATCCATCTTTGCTTTAGGTGATCGACTTCAACTTTATGTTTTCCCGAGACTGCGTAAGTTGCGACACAGCTTCAGTGGCTTCTCAGATGTCGAATCCGTATGGAACTCCCCGTCTGAGTGGTCTTCCCCAGGACATGGTGCGATTCCAGAGTTCCTGCGCTGGAGCTTGTGCGGCAGCTGGAGCTGCTTCAACTATGCGAAGGGACACCGCTTCGTCATCTCGCCCACTGCACAGCACTTTGAGTCGCCTGAGAAACGGAGCGGAGAAAAGGAACCCAAATAGAGTGGCTGGAAACTATCAGTATGAGGATCCCTCGTACGAAAACGTTCACGTTCAGTGGCAGAACGGTTTTGAGTTCGGCAGATCCCGTGACTACGATCCAAACTCCGCATATCACCAGCAGCGTCCCATGTTGCAAAGGGCCAGATCGGAGAGTCCCACATTCAGCAATCAGCAGAGGCGTATTCAGCGTCAGGCGGCCCAAGCTCAACAACAGTCGCAGCAGGCGAAGCCTCCAGGATCCCCGGATCCCTACAAGAACTACAAACTGAATGCGGATAACAACAGCTTCAAACCAAAACCATCGCCCGCCGAGGAACTCGAGGGAGCTGTTGGTGGTGCAGTGGCTGAGATTGCTCCTCTGGAAATGGAAGCCGAAGCCGCAGATCCCGTGAACTTGAGTGATAATGAGACTGAGACAAACAGCAGTCAAAACAACCCTCCTGGGACTTCAAGCAGCAGCAATGTCACCGAGCATAATGATTAGAAATGGGCAAAATAAGTTGGTTCTGGCAGAGCAGCGTTTAAAATGTTAGTCTATCTCTGATGTGAAAAATACCATTTACAATTTTGTACGATTTTATACGGAAACCTAACTGGGTTTTGTGTTTGTTTAATGAAAAGTGATACCAGTTTATAGCTTTTATAGTAAACACGTTTGTTTTTACTTAGGTGTTCAGTTAGAAATTCGCAATGTTCAAATATTTTTCACTCAGAGAGGCTTGCCAGTTTTTTGTGTTTTCCAAAAACAATATTCGACCAACGCTGCTCTTCAAAATTAGATCTCAGAAAACAATAACAACAAAATAGGATCGACCAAAAAAAATCGAGCAAATTAAAATTACATTTTTAAAATCAAAAACAAAACACTTAAACATTGTAGAATTTGATATTAACATAGAAACGGGCGACTTTGTATAACCAGCCAAAGCTCAAGATTGAATATTATGTTGCAAACTGTAGTCGTAGTTGGAACAAGAATTTTTGTGTGTCATGTGAAGTTATAGTTAAACCTAAGAGCCATATCATATCACGTTCTCCGTAACCATTTTAATAAGCAATATGCATTTTATATGCTAGTTCCGTTTCATTATCCACTGCCTACTCCAATTTCCAATACACATTGGCATTTACAACTCGCACCTGCTTCGTTTGAGTATGTTAAGTTATGGCTTTAAATCGAAACAATAATATTTAGCTAACTACTGTACAAGTTCTCCATTAGAAATCTATTGTTTAAGTCAATTAGAGTTACAGGTATTATTTACATGCATATATATACAAGCGCATATACAATACTCCAAGATCGGTACATAATTAATATAATCATACTTACATGTGTATTGAGTTTAACTAATTCATAATAAAATAGTTCAACGAAACGAAAAGCGATCGGTGTGGTTTTTCTGAAAGGTTTTTGTTTTTATTTTAACAAACTATTATAAAATTGGATGCTTCGTTCTCATTGCTTTTGTTTTGTTCATATACACAGATACATTAAATATCAATACCGTTAAATTAAAAAATACAATATCTGTTCGTAATATACTCGTATTTATAGATATATCTTGCCTCGATCCCGTCCGCTACGAATGCCCTCCAGGGAATTTACTCCGAGTTTTAAATTTCGAACGCTCGAGTTCCGATCCGCCGATTTAGCCGATATGTTTTCGCTATGCTCCCTCACATGGATAGACTCAAAAAAGCATAAACACTGATGAGCGCTAATTGAATTTGCATAGTATACGTATATGTTTATATTTTTTCTTGAAATTTCGCTTCTAATTTGAATATTACGGGAATGCATTACTCCTTACTCGTTACTCATTGAATATTTGTAGTAATTTGTGTTTTTTTGGCTGCAATTTCTCGCTATGTCTACAAGCTTTGTCTAAATCGCTGATAAGTTCTTTAGGATTAGGTTTATATATTTGTTGCTGTCGCTGTTGCTGCTTTTGCTGCTGCCGTTGCTGCTGCTGCTGCTGCTCTTGATGTCGATTTTGTAATAGTATACTTCGTTTCACCGCCTCGTTCAATGCTAAACTTAAAATATACACGAACAACTAAGAACTAAACTAGAGAAATGCTTTAAAAAATTAGCCCAGAACTATACAAAAACGCTTTTAGCGCCTCGCCTCCCTTTCTCAATGCTTCCATCTAACCCAGATCAAGTGGAAAAAAATTATACACATATCGTTAGTTAATTGCCAAAATAAAATAAGCGACGAAAACATAATCTTGAAAACATTTGAAAGATGTACCCCATTTTGTTCTTTGAAAAAACTGACTTCTTAAATCATTGAATGTTAAAGCACTTGAGTAAAAAAGTAAAAACCAGTAAATGGATGTTTTTGTAATAGTTGCAAGAAAGTGCCGCCTATGTTATTTTCGCATTTACATCCAAGATACATATTTTTCGAAATAAAGCCACCCATCAAGATCTCTACTTGGGCAACTCGTAGATCTGGACGGGCAGCGCCTTGGGCGTGATGATCTCATCCTCGAAGTCCTCGTCATCCCCGTGGATGGCATAGCCCCCGCCATTGTGCTCCCCCTCGAACTCGTTGGGAACGATCTCCACGTCACTGGGTCGCGAGGTGCTCCGTGATCCTCCGCCGGAATCGCTGCCGTGCCGATTGGATCTCGTCTTGGTCGATTTGCTCACAAAATCGCGCAGCATGTGCGCGTACAGGATGTCGTCCAGATAGTACATTGTGCCCAAGTTGTACACGAACACCTCGCTCTCCGTAATCTGGGCATTGTTCACGCTGGTATAATTGCTTCCAGGATTGCGGGTGATCTTTATGTGGCCACCGCCGATCGTCTCGAATACCTCGTTATCGCGCAAATCCCGGTTGTAGAGCCTTCCCTTGACGAAATGGTTTAGGAGCATTTTAACTCCGCGTTGGGAGGCCTTAATGACATGGTTTTTTATGAATATATTTTTGAATGTAAAAAAAAAATATGAAATACTTACCATCACCTCATCGGATAACTTATCATATCCCAGCTTCTCAAAGGCCCGGTCCTCTGGCACAAAGAACGTGTAGTTGGCTCCGGAAATGTGGGGAGCGATTTCAGCACTGTTTAGGTATCTTTGGGATGAGTAAAAATATTTTTTAATTTTGTTGTTGTATTTTTTATAATAACTATATTCTTACCTGGTTATCTGTGTGAATCGGGGATCCCTCTCCAAAGCCAAAAAGGAATGGGAGAGGAACTGAGCTCCAAACCAAGGGAAGGCCAACAATGGTGGTGTCTCCTTATCCTTGTGCATCTATCGAAAAATGTATTATAATAATTTACTTAAAAATGTAACAAATTATAAATAAATTCTATTAAATTCCAATTTCTTTTATTCTAGAAGGACTCCCCATTCTCACCCAAAAATTCTTTTTGTGAATACACCAACTTTCCCCACAGTGGATGAGGCATAAATCAGCTTACCTGATGCAATTTGGAGACCACCGCTTCGGTGACGAAGAGCACCTCGGAGATAATGAACACCTGATTGCCATTGGAGAGGTTGTAGTCGGACATAATGCTCACATTATTCACCGTGGGGGTGGCTATATAAAGGGAGAAAGGAAGGAAGGCGCCACATGCCGTTGTCATAAATTGAATTGGGGTACGTTATTTATGGGAGCCACTTACGTTGGCCGTGGAAGACGACATCCTCGCCACCCATGGTGGTCACGACGACCTCGTCCATGTTGCGGACATCGGAGAGCCTCAGGGGTCGCTGCATCGGCAGGAAGTGGTTCCTCAGCACCGACTCGGTGAATTCCGGCACGGAAAACGGATAGAATCCCCAGTCGATGGGATGCCAGCGTTGAAAGGCGTTGTCCGAGGGAATCAGCACCGTGTACGCGTTGTCGTCCATAATGCGGGTCAGATTGCTCTTGGAGAGGAAGTGCTGGAACACCTTGGTGCCCGTCTTCATGTTGCCCAGAAAGGACATCAGCGGACTGGCCTTCGACTCCTTGATAACGGGCTCCACCTTTGCATGTGCATTCGTAATGTTCGGCTGCTCCAGCGGTTGGGGGTCGTTGTAGCGGCTGTAAAATGCACACAGAAAAATATTAGAGCACCGCTTACTGTAATTTTAAACCTTATTTTAATATAGAAAAATCCTTTCTATAATCCAAAAGCTAGAGCACGCTCCAACTTTTAATTATTGCTACTTAACTACGTGGTCTCGAGATAAAGTACTTAACGTAAGTAAATAAACCCATTAAATGATTTATTTTCCTCTGTGAAATAAATGTGCTAAAGACGATTATGGCAATGTGGTTGGACTGGGTCCACAGATTGAGATTGAGATGCGTCCGACGGCCTCGGTCAGGAGTGCGGAAGAGGAAAACCCTTCAAAGTTTGAGAGTGTGTGTGCGAAAAGTTGGACCAGCAAAAACTTTGTTTGCCGCCTGATAAATTTCGCATGAGTGCACTTTTGACCGCAAACAAACTAGGACTAGGAACTTGGCAAAAGTCCTGTACAGTGGTCACACCAAAACCAGAACCACTGCACTTGTATTTAAAAATATTATATATTTCTTTAATCCAATTTGTAACCCATTTAATTTTAGATATTTTACTTTAATTTTACTCCATTTATTAAGAGAACTCTTTTATATAAAAACCTAAAAATTTTGTTCATGGTTTACTCTATTTTTGCTCCACTGTGTGGGAATGGGTGGTAGTGGTGGGTGGTACTCACTTGTTCGTTTCCTGAATATTGCGCTTGGAGTAGGGCGACTTCCTATCGCCCAAATAACCATCAATTGCAATGGCCATCAGGTTCTCATTGATACGCAGCTTGTGGAGTATTTGCTGGCCATTGAGTAGCCAAACATTGTTGTGGGATTTTTCCAATTTACGGAAAACGATTTTGTGTCCGTTCCCATTGCCGAAGGACTCCTCCTCCTCCTTGCTATTACCATTGCCATTCCCATTGGCCACGGCGCTGTAGCTGTCGAAGATTTTACCGGGCACCACATGCTCCAACATGAACTCCTTCAGTCGCGGCTTCTCAATGCTCCGCACATCGATTTTGGGCACAATCAACGTGTACGGCAGGTCTGCCGGAATGTCCACCGGAATCGCAACGGACATGCAAAGAGATACGGATAGAAGGCAACGAGTTACCCAGGGAATTGCTCACTTAAAAATGTAAACTGTTTTCGTTTCATTTACGGCTAAGTGCTGCGCTCAGCTCAGCGCACCTGAATCCCCAACCTGTCTGCATGCTAATCAAGTAATTAACTTCGGCCCCAGCCGCGGGGATGCGTCATTTTTTATTTGTGGGTGTGTACTGTAGTCTGCGGAAATTCGTGGCTTAATTAGCTTAAATTATTATGGGCTGCGCGTCTTGGATTCTTGTGTCGGGAGGTGTGTCTGCAACTATTTCCAATGATTTGTAATTAATTCATGTCTTGTGCCTACTGTTTAGCAGCTTTTATCTATTTTTAAAAGTCTCGTAAATCAAATATTCATATTTTGGGCAACTTGTGTTCTGAATTCCTATTGTTATTAAAAAATTATTGATACAACTTCGCTTTGTTCACTATTAATTTAGCATTCTTTTGTCCGGTAATAAAGTAAATAATGTATAAATAAACATGAAGATTGTTCAATACCCTATTCAGAAAATTCATAATTTCATTGAAGCTCAATAAAAAAAAATTTTATACACAAAGAACACTGTTTTGTTTCAACCCATTTTCATACTGGAAATTCTTATTTATTCTTTGGCTTTCTTTTTTTTAGTCTCCTCTCGACTATCTCCACCCAATGGTAATGGGTAAACTCAGTATTTTTGTTTATGATCAACATTTGGACAGTTGAACGAATCCATTTGTCAACGTCACACATTTCCAATTTCCCATTTTGGGAGTTTCCCGGCTGTCTCGAGCTGTTTTTTCGGGGAGTCAGTTGCGCCATGTCCTGTCTAACGAGCATTCTGCAGCTGCTGCAAGTGCTGACAACGCTCACGGGTTGCAACATATACAGATATGTCGAAGACAGGCAAGTTTTCAGGCTCAACCCGAAGATTAATTTTCTGGTGGGGGCCATGCACAGATTTTGGTTTCGACCCTGGCTGCTGATGATATTTCTCATGTACTCGATTTGCTGGGTGATGGAGTTCCTAATGGGAGAGGCGGATCTAACTCCCGGCAGCGAAAGACCCTTACACTTACTCTACTGGATAGGATTGACCATCGGATCGTGCCAGAACTTTATCATCAGCGTAGGAGTTGCCTATCACTACAGGTACTAGAAATCTAATTAATTATTTTGCAATTTTGCAATTTTTATATTTTTGATTGAGGTATCATCGAAAGCTTATGCGACAGGTTTTGAATGGCTTCGTAAGGATCTATTTTGGTTACGAAAGAGTCTGTGGAAGGCCGCCGAGAATAAACTGGTGGATTTTCATTATACAAGCTTACAGAATATTTATAGCTTCTTCAATCCCTGTGAAAACCACTTCGGCTGTAGTTCTCGGTTTCGGATCAAAGATCGACGTTCATCTGCGCCGATTTGGATTTATGTTCATATGCGTTCAGCCATTCCTATTGTCATTTGCAGTTCATTTGGGCGTTTTGATCCTATACGCCTGCTATGACATTCAGGAGCAATCCAAACAAAGTCGCAAATCATTTAGGCTTTATGCTTTTTATAAAGCCCTTATCAAACTAAGGCTTAAGTTTGACCTCCTGATTAGGCCCTTTGTGTGGACGGCTCTTTTGGAAGTCATCATACTCTTCATTGGATACTTTCATTTGATTCTGTACGATCAGCAATCGTTAAAGAGACTAGTAATGACTTTGATTCCCAGCCTTGCATTCCCGCTTTCCTTTCTTCATATTACTGCGGGAATTAGAGCCGCGGAGAAAGAGTTTGGAGAATTTAAAGCTAACTTTGGGCCACAACGACAGGTGAGCAAGGAAGAAAGAAAATTTGACTAAATGATTTTTCAATTATATACCTAAATCTGAAATATTTTTTCTAGACGCAAATGCTTTGGCTTTACAAGCTTGTTATTTCTGAGACAGCTGATAGAAGTGAAATAAATGTCTTTCGCCTGGATCGGGGATTTATTTTGGAAATCCTGAGACTTGGTTGGGTAGTCGCAATGTTTTCAAATAGTTAGCTACTCAATAGTAACGCCAGTTTAAAGCACTTTGAGATTGTCAATTATAAAAAGTTTTTGTAAGTTTGGTTCTATAAATCATTTGTTTGAGAAAACTTTCAATGAATTTATGAAAATTGAGATAAGAAACACTATCTTGTATAAGAATATTTCTAAGAAAATGAATTGATTTTCCCAAGTTTTCCTCAGTCACTCACCCGATTTCGGTTTGTAGCCGTACAACTCGAGGACGGGAAAGCCATCGTCGATGAACCGGTAGACCTGCTGCCACTTTTCGTCTTCCTGGTTGACGCGTTGCAAGGCGGCCAAATCGGGCAGCACTTTGCCCTCAATCAGCTTGGCATTCTTCAGGCTGGCATCGATTCCGGTTGTCGTTGTGGATGTGGATGTTGATGTTGCAGTTGCCGTTGCTGTTGCTGCTGCTGCATCTGCGACAGCGGCAACATCGGCAATCTGCAGCAGCGACAGCAACACGAGTGTTGCCACCGGCACTTGCAACATTTTGCGCGACATTCAAAATACGGTTTCTGTTTTACTATATTTTGTATTCCGCTGTTCTTGTTCGTTAGCAAACTGCGAAATTATTTTTAATTGCAAGCACTTTTTCGAGGGTTTTTCGTTAGTTGTGTTCTCTCTGAGTTGTTGCCACTTGTTCCTTAGTTTTTGATAGCTTTACGGTACCACGAGTTTATTCATTTTTCGTTGTTTGCAAACTTGTTTTTTCGGGCGAGAGGAGCTTTACATAATTGTCAAGTGCTGGAAGAAGAAGGGGTGATTTTGATTACTTTGCAAACTCCTAACTTATTGAAATTCCAGGCGTTGTCTATGCGACTTAATGCGGCTATTCAAGTGTTTTGTATGCAAATCGTATCGCGCTTTTAGTCCCTCTATAAATACGAATATCTGAGTGGTTATATATATATGGTATATAGAAAAAAAGTAAGAATAGTTCGCTTGAGTTCATCACGCTGCGATTTGCATTCGGTGATTGCGAATGCAGTTGGGGGAAAACCCGAAAAGGGCGGCACTTTTACGATGGCTATCAGGAATTGTTGAATTTGCACACTTCTAGTCGTGATGGGCCCTCTCGCATTTTATTCTCATTTTGCATATGAATCGTGGCTGTATAACAAACCATAATGTGCGATAATTTGTTTATTTGCTGACCTCTGCGCTCAAATCTGATCGCATACAAGGCTGTTCACTCAGCGGCATGTGCACACAGATACAGATACAAATACAGACACAAGTATCTCACAGATAATATGTGAAGAAAGTAAATTAATTTCAATTAAAGTTGACAAAACTAGACGGCAAACTACGGCGTAAATAAACCGCAGAGGAAAAGAACTGCGACAAACACCAATCAGTTCGAGTGAAAGAAAAACTCTCAATCAAATTTAATTCTCCACAGAATCCGGATGTTTTGGGTTTCAGGTGAACTCTTCAATATGGAATTATATTTTATTTTTCTTAGCTTGAACTTAGCACCTTTGGCGCGCATTTGCGAACTGAACCGCACCGATTCCCGATCCGAACTATACTGTGAACCTCTGGGGTGGTCAAGTCGCCCTACTGGAAGACCAGAGCAAAAACCTGAGCCTACACACAAGTGTTCGAGGAGCCGAGGAAAGCAGTCTCAGCGGCTGCCCGGTGGGAAATTGGGTGACTCCGTGGCATTTTGAGGCTCCAGCAGAAACTGGTTACTCTTGAACCGCTTTAAAGCATTTTAAAAAATCCTTTTTATTATTGTCTTAAATTAAAAATCAAACTGAAATGATTTCAAACTAACTGAAATATAAAAAATGGATAGTTTTTCAATGTACAACAAGTATGGATTCTTTAAATTTTGTATTTAATAAATCCATTTATCCTTTGGTAAATATTAAAATATTAAAAATAATATCGATCCAAAGTTTCCCATGCGGTCACAACGAAAACAATTTCCTTCTTATTTAAATTCCCTGTGCATTTGCCACCGGGCATTTATCACTTATCACAAACGCTCATTATTCATGATTATGCTTTGGCTTTTGTGCAAAATTGTGCAACTACCGCCGCAGTCCCGGCTCACATGGACTACTGGCTGTCTGGTCTGTCAGAGGTTTCCCATTATTGCGGAACTCCCCTCCGAATCTCCCAGTCTCAGCCAAGAACCCAATCCCATTCCCGTTCCCATTTCCATTTACGAAGCGAACAAAAAAAACTTTATATGATATACACTGCCAAAATGACAATACGATATACTTAGCCAAATTTGTAAAATTCAAGATTGGTTCAGAAAAGTAAAAAATATTACAAATTACTTGATCATCTTATGTTCAAAAATAACTTAGTTTCAAAAAACAAAATAATTTGTTGAGTGAGACTATCTTATTTGTCTGCAGCGACAAACAAAAAATTAAATTATGTTCGTAAAATATTTATTAATTTTCTTATGAATTTTCTTTTTGAGGTATTTTGTATTTCTCTTAAATTTCTTGCAATATTTTTTTCAGTGCAATCTCCAGTCTGGAGACTGGCAGCAATTGCTGTGATTGTGCTGACGAGGTTTTGTGGCCGAGCTTTAGCATCAACCGACTGACTGCTGCACTATATAAATGTTGTCTTGCCTTGTTACAACTTTGTATTTTTGGCTTCTTTTCGAACGGCTTTTGTGTGTGCGAGTGCTTGTGTGGTTTTTAATGAGAGTCTCGTGCAGGTCTTTCCCATTGTTGGAAACTGACTCTGCCGGTCGACGATATCGTAATTGATATTATTGTCAACCAGAGGGTTTATTTATACTTTAAGTCGGCTCTTAATAAGCGACATTTAAGCTGCATTTCGTATGCAAAGGGAGCACTTCGTTTTTATCTTGATTAAAGTTTTCCATTTTATTGAACTGCTTCTGGCTTTTTTTTATGAGTCTGTGTATCTTGGGTCAACAGTTTCTCAGACTGCAGAGGAAGTAAAAGTTGCAAATATGTTGGTACCTATCCTGTAAAGGACTTTTTATAGCTACTATTATTGTTACTTTTTATAGAAAAAGATAAAAACAAACTGATTTTACGCTCGAATTGGTTTTATTTTACTGGTCAATGGAAATGACAAAAAAATTTAAAAATATTCAAGTCGTTAAATCCTCTTTTATGAGCTTTCAACTGCTTTAATTATTTAAAGTGCTGCATCAATCACCATCAATTTGAGGAACTGCAGTGACAATTAAATTAACAGTCGAACATTTCCCAGTGCTGAACTGTCTGACTGAACTTTCAATCCAGTTGGGTGAACTATAAAATAAAATTACCCACTTAAATGTGAACTTAAACGATTTGTAATTGGCATCTTTGGGATCATTTCCGGGTACTCTCTTCGCCATAAACACAAGCTTTCTTTGGCTCGCCTTTTAATTACTTTTCCACGTAAAGCTTGCCAACTTTGCTCGTCCTTTTTTGTTGCACGTTACACTCTCGTATGATTAAAAAATTCTTGGGAAACCATTTTCATAGTTTTCATAGTTTTAACCGGAGAAAAGCCGCTAAATAAAGCCAGGGACGCACACACTTGTTATTTGAGAAAACGGATATGAAAATGGGAGGGCAAGAGGAGTAGTGGGGCCGGGAAAACTCCGTTGCCGAATTTGTGTATACGAAAACAGGAAGGTTGTGGACTGTAGTTTGTAGTAGTGATAGTGACAGTGATAGTAGTAGTAGTACTACGACAACTACAACACAATACTACAGCGACCAAGAGCAACAGTAAAAAAAAAAAAAAAAAAACAGAAGAAGAGCAGCAGCAGCAGGAGGAAAAGCAGCAACAATAAACAGTGCCGCAGAGTCCAGAGTGCAAACCAATTGAAATTAATTTGCATAATATAAATCTGGACATTCAGCAATAGAATGGAACCGAATCCACTTTCCCCCCAACTTTCCCCTCGATGCACAGGCCGCTAATTCTGGGATTATTCACAGTTTATTGCACTTAGTTTTCTTGCACAAATGTTCTTCTTCCCCGACAGTTTTTCCTCGTTCGGCTCCACATTTGGTTTATTGCCTCAGTTCATTCGGTTCACATTTTCATTGAGCACTTGTTTTTAATTGGATTGGTTCGGGTTTCAGGCGATTGTTTAATTTTCATTGCAATTTTTGACAGGTTTCACTGGGCTTTACTTTCCGCTCTACGCAGCTCGCGCGTTGCTCTTCGGCAAATGTTGCGTCTGTTGTGCCGGAAAATTGACGACAAATTGAGAGCTTTCGCTTCGGTTGCGTCGCTTGTCGGTGCTTTTTGGGCTCCTTGGTTATGCGCCAGGGTTGCCAAGATCCTAAAATATTTTTAAACTTGAATAAACTTCGGGAAAATCAGTTGGGGCTCAACAAAATTATCTTAATTTCTATACAAAAATGTATAGTACCCTAACCATTTATTTAAACAAAATATTTAAGGTTAGTTGCCTAGACAAAAAATTGCGTATACGTTTAACTGACATAAGCTTAGCAAGTTAAAGCTTAAGAATAAAGTTCCTACTTTCAGCTAAGACACAAACCAGGCAAGTAAAATTCAAATATTACGTATACGAACTGTAAACATGTTTTCTGTACGGAAATATTTAAGTTGTCAAAAAAAACATAAATTAAAAGAAAATTCCTTCCAACATTTCTTATAACCCTACTTTGTAACAAGTGAAGAAAATACGACTTGTTATTTTTTATGTCATCCCCTTTCTAAAAGCTTTATTTCGAAGATTTTTATTTGTGTCCTTATTTTTGTTCGCATTTTTATTTTTAATTTTTTCCACTATTTCTTCTTAATAAGAAATTAATCAAGCAACCGCCACGCACACTCACCACACATACAAACACTGGCAAGAAAACAAGACATTAACACATTGAACAGCACTTGGCCGGCAATTATTAACACATTAACAGGTCGCTACTTGCCTGATTTATTTGCACAATTCATAATTATAATATGCAGGCATCAGTGGTAGGCGACACGTGACAATAAAAACAATATAAAAAGTATGCGCCAGCAATTTGTTTGTGTTTCGTAAACATAAAATCAATGAATGTGTAATAAGGAAAAAATACTTATGGCGCCTCATACAACAACCGTATTAAATGTCAAATTAATTTTCATGCCATTAAATGCAGCAAGTGCTACCGAAAGCAAATATAAACAAAACAAATATAGAACAATCAAACGCAAGGACGTCCAATCAATGCGACCGTTTCAAGGTTTTCCAAACAAAAAACAGAATGAACTGAAAATAGAGAGAAAAAAAAAGTGGAGAAATGAAAGCAAAATACGGACCGAAAAAATGTGCATAAATATGCCGCAGAGCTTAGGGAGCCAGTGGCTTAAAGTATTAGGATTCGTCTGAAAAGTGCACACATGGGCAGCGAATAAATAGGGCTATGCCATTTATCCAGACGAGAGTTTCCACTTCGGTCCATGGGAGCCGAGAGTTGTTCTTTTATTTGGCAACATGTATTTACATAGATTTACATTGAAAACACTTTAAATGCCTGGCAATCAACACCGGCCTGCGTAGAGATCCTGGAGCCCAGGATCTGGGCCCAATTGTCCTGGCCGAAACATGGTTAAATGACATGAAAGACCGATGCCCCTTGGCCAACAACAAAAGTGCAACGAGGTCGACCGAATGTACACACACAGTAAAGCAAACTTTGTGGTTAAAACTAAAGTGGCCTTTTTAGCATTCAACAAATATAAAAAAGGGAAATAAAAGTGGCAAAGAAGGGACTTCGAAAAGTGTCCAAAAAAGTTGAATGGAGAAAGGAATTTTTGTGCCCGCCCCGCTCATCTGCATTTGGCCACAGTTTTCGTTTTGGCCTCTTTTTTAATATTTCAACACAATTTTTGCATTGCATGGCAATGGCAATGGCTTTGGCCACCAGGAGCTGAATCCGGAGGACTTTGGTCTTCGTGTCGCTCTGCGGTAATTTATGCATGCTGTTTGCCTCCTCTTGACTGTTGGCTTTGTTGGTTATAAAATAAATAAAAGATGTCACAAAAATGCTTTGACATGCTCGTTACTCTGCCGAATACATTTAAGCACAATATATACAAATTTACTTGACTTAGGAGCTGCTGCAGGGAAGTGTAAGCATAACACACTTAGATAAATGTTTACCTATATAATTAGAGAAATCTTATGTCTTAAGATTGTTTTATTTTAAATCAGAAATTTCTTTTTCTTTTTGTACAAAAAATTATAAATACAAATAAAATGAACAAATTGTTTTGAAATAGTTAAAGCTTTTTGTGGGAGGTCACACTTCTACCAGTACATTTTTGATCCTCGGGGAAAACTACTCAACGCGTTGAGTGGAATCCTTTTCGGTATTAACAGAAATTATCACCAGTAGGCCGTGTTCCAAGGCCACTCGACAAGGACTTAAAGTTGGCTTTATTTTGGGGTGGGATCGCCCTCAAAGAGGGTCTTATCACTGAATTGGCAGTTAGACTTAATTGAATATTCAAATTGGTGCTGGCTTGCCAATGAAAGAGCTCATTGGGCCTGATGAACCGCCACGCAACTTTCGCTTTAAATTAAAACAAAGAGCTTTCCATTGCTTTCAGTTAAATAAACCTTTAACGCGCTTTAAATACGAAATCCGAAAAAATATTTGTTTCAATAAGCATTGCTGAAATTTTAATTAATGCGGTCGCACTTTATAGTCTTGCCGTAATTAAATTATACATTGTGCAAACGAAAAAACAGGTCGCTTAAGTATGGAAAATTTACATAAATAATTAACATAAAATAACCATGTATTGTGGGCTTTGTGAGTGTTCGGCTGAAAAAGTGCTTTTTAATAGCAAAATCTATGGTAAATTCTGAACGAATGTTCCAAATTAAGTGTTGAATTATGCAACACTTTCGCCAATACTTGAACTCAGTGTTTTAAATTTAAATTGTGAATTATATCTAGTATTTTTGTCTATCCTTTCTTTTGATTTATGAATAAAATGCACAGAGGGCAAATTCATACATACATGGGAATTTTATTTTGTTCAACTCGATTTCCCTTTTGCCATCCTGCCCTTTCGTCCTTGCTGAGTGGCCTAATGAAAAGCGTTCAAGTGAGATTTACTTAAACAAATTCTAAGACACATTTCCCCAGGCAGTGGCAAAAATGGCAACGGAGTCAGATGTCTTGGCTCCCCAGTGCAGCTTAGAGTTTTTTGTTGCAGCCAAACAATTTATTTGCATTTCCACAGTTGTCCTTCACTGGCTTTGCAATTGAGTTTCTCATTTGTGTCCTTTTTCGCCGGCTTGTTCAAACTCGGGATAGTGGAGGTTGTACTTGGCTTGTGCAAAATTCTCTGGTTTTTAAATATTTAAAAAGTGAGAGGAATAAAATGGAAGACAGCTTTTGTTTGAATGCTTTTTATGTGCGGTATTGAGCCAGCAGGCAATCAAGCAATAAATCAATGCAAAATAATGCATGTGCATATCGAATTTTTTTGTCAAAGCCTCAAGGTTGTTGGTATCCTGAACTGAAAGAGATATTAAAACTTAAATTTGGTGGAGTCGTATAAAAATGATTTCAACGCAGGCACGAGCCTTTAATTAAGGTTTTTTTCTTTTATGTTTCTCTTACATCGTCAGCGTTATGGCAATCGTTTTAAAGTCTTAGGAAGTTCCAGACGTAATGATACCTTTATTTAAAATAACTAATAATTTTTTAACTAATTATTTCAATTTAAATATGTTTTAACTTCCTTTTTGTGGCCACACCCAATATCATATATGTTTAATTATAAGCTCAAAACCTTTCTTCGTTTTTCGAGGGTATCTTTCTCCGAGTCACTGCATTTATTATGGCCCAGAACAAAGTGTTGCCTGCCCAGTTTTGGCCATGGTCTCCAGTGGTCTGCGACCGGAAATGGCATTAATGCCTAAGCCCAGCTCCCTTCGCGCCATTATAATTAAATGCGCTGGCGACGTTCCCTTTCCGCCTTCGTCTGGTTGGCAAAATAGTGCACCCTGCAAATAATTAGCATGGCTGGGAATCCTGTGAGTAATTAAGGTAAGTCAGCTGTTGCCCCGTCTCGAGTGCTAGAAAAAACCGGAACGAGCAAAAAGTGTCGTCCATTGTCAACGGAAATTAAAGTTTAATGGGACGACGCGTTGAGTTTTTTTTTTGTTAGAATTTTCAAGTGCAAAATGAGCTTGTCCGGCTGTTTTTACGCTGACCAAATGTTTGTAACATTTCAAGCTATTAAACTAAAATTTTACCAAACTTGATGGCACACAAGCTGTGCGAAAAAAATTGTCTGCAAAAACATTGGAAATTTTGAGGTTCTGGGAAAAGGGGGTCAGAAATTTTCACCAGAGGCAAGAGAAAAGCAATTACAGAAGTGATTTAGAAATATGTACATGTGAAAATAGTTAGAAAAACAATTGTATGGGGAAGCTGAACAGTTGTTTGCTTTAACATATGTGAAAGCGAGAGTAAAATCAATTTTGTTTGGCAAACACAGGGAACCAGATGATACCAAAACACAAATATTATGTTTTGGTTGGCACTTTTCAAAAGAGAGAATTTGCCTCAAATAAATATAACATAATTTGTGTTTGCAGTAAGTAAACTATTTATTTTTTATCTAATTGCCAGGCTGGGCTTTAAAAGTGATTAATTTATTTTATATGCTCTGTAAATCTTTTTAAATAATATTGAATTCATTAATTTGTCACTTTAATAGAATGGTTGTCCTCCCACATTGCCGCAAAAACTTGTATTTATTTTGCAGTTAAATGGCTCAAATTGTTGCCAACAATTTATTGTTGTTCCATTAACTTTTGTTTGCTTATCTCTCTCGCCACTTCAATGGCACAAAGCCCTTTATCTGGCCAACTGTTTTTGCTCTCTAGATTACGTTCATTTATGGGTTGTAAATAATTAGTTGATTAAACGAAAAAATATCTCGGAATGTTATAAGCTCTGTCTAGTCACCGATGAAAAACACACATTTTAAGGATTTTTTCTCTCTTTATTTTGAACTTATTTTAAATCGTGGGGTTTTGGTTCTTAGCTCATAATCAGTAAAGTCGTTTCCTTTTAGTTAAGCCATCAATTTGTTTGCACAACACAGTTCGATTGCCGCCGTTGAAAAATAGCTCAGCATTTTTAAGCGATAACGCAGAAAGTTAGTCACTGAATTCGTTATTTCACCGCACTTTTATGGACTGCACCTCCAGCCAGATCATAACGGCAGCTATAGCCACATATATGGCCACGATCATTAGGATCTGCAGGGGACTGGCGGTGAAAACCTGGACCACCAGCATCACAGTTCCCAGAAGGAAAACGGCGGCCAGGAAAACTATCATCAGGATGGTCGACCAGTTGCGATACCAGGCGTGTTTTTTATCCGGTGGCGGTACGTAGATCGGTTTTAGGGGCTATACTCCTTTCGATATTGGGTTTCGTAACCGCTGGTGAAGTCGACTTCGTCGTGAAAGGTCCCCGGACCCGAGGTGCCCGCCTTTTTCTCATCCGTGTCCATTTCGAATCGCGTTCTTCGCTCGACTGAAGAGCGATTCGCTGTTCTCGGGGTATTTTCACCGACTTTTTCCCTCCAACGTTTTCTTGATTACCAATCATTTCGGGGTCTGCGTTATTATCGCCACGGCAAAAGGTGTTAATTGAGACAACAACAAGGCAAACAGAGAGAAGCGTCAAGTGCTGACAATATTTGTGTGTTCTTTGTGACTCAGATAAGATATCTATAGAAGTCTGAGGGAACCCGTCAAAAAAGCTGAGAAAAAGAGACCCAGATTGACAAGAAAATCGCTTGGAAATAAGAGATTGCAAAGAGAGATCTGCTCCAAAGAACTTGGTCTTTTTATCACGTTTTCTGAAGTCTATGATTTCTGATAAAAAATCATTTGAGTGTGTGATCTATAAAGTCTACGATTAAAGTGTCATTTATTTTTACAGTAATGGTAAATTTTTATAGAGTTTCTTTGTTGTTTTTTCTGTTGTTGAGTTGACTTAAAGCTCTCTTAAATTTGTTCTCTTAAATTTAAGTTCTCAGCTCTGATGGTTTCTTTTTGTTTTTCCAAATACACTCAAAAAAAGAGTGCTTTAAATTTCACTGAGGTAAGATAATATTTTTTAAAGCTTGAATTTTTATTTGGAAGAATCATCCAACAGTCAAGGTAATACATTTTACATTTTTTTCAAACATCTCTAAATTTGGTAAGAAAAAAAAAAACTTGTAAATAACTTAAAGTTTTAAATAATAAAATAACAACTGTAGTTAAGGCATATGTTTCTAGTTATTTTTTATTTAAATGTCACCAAATAATCCGAAAACAAAACAAACTCAAATATAAATTCTTTTTGATGGAAGATATTTGATACGTCTTGAATCTCGTGTAGAACGTGCGCTTTTTCAAATTCTCAGTTTATCCAGAGCCTTCATACTGAGCAGATCAAACTGAATTCAAAAAAAATGAGGTACATTTAAAATAAATATTTCAAATAACATCGAATGTAAAAACCTTAAAATGTTGAAGTGAGGACAAAGATATTCTATTGGACAACACGATCATCGAAGTAGAGCTTTCAAATGAAGAGGAACACATTGTGCCGATTGATAATATCTGCAATTCGGAAATCAATTTGGAAGATGGACCGCGACCATATAAATTTTTACAAAGCTGCAACTCTGTTGGGTTATGGACTTGTATTCTTTATAATGTGTGCCTAATTTTTCTAATAGTGCTTGTGTATCTCTATAAACGATGGAAATAAAAATCTTAACTTTACAACCTAAAATGTGTTCAAAATTAACTAACTTATCAAACCTAGATCAATGCGCCTGCAGATTGAACTCGGATAACTTTGTGAACGTCAAAAGAATGTAAAACGGCTTACTGTCCTAAATGTACTTAAACTTTTCCTCCTCTTTAGTGCCGCCAAACAATTTAAGTTGTTGACAAAGTCATCAGCATGCAGCAGGCAAGCGGCTTTCAAACAAATTGCAGCATCAGCTAAAAAATCCAACGAACTTGCTACTGTTGCATTTTTATTTCTTTGTTGCGCATCGGCAAAACTTTTTATTTGTTGCTCCATCTACACTGTATTTTGATGCTTAGCAATTAGGCAAATCATGCGGAGTTAATTTGCTTGATTTTCTGTTTATATTTTCTGCACTCAGTATTGATAAAAATAAGGAATTTTATGACGTAATAAAGATAAGTTTTATCCAAGTAATACTTAATCCAATAAATTTCATGCCAATTTTATGTCAACAGTTTCCTGCATTTGATACATTTCCGTTTATGGAAACTTTAAATCGACACAGCTAATCTGATTGAAGAAAGCCGTCGTTTATGTTTAAGCCTCGCACGATTGTGTCCCAGTTTTGTGCACCTTGGCCAGGAATCATTATTCAAACCTAAGACGGAGATTAAAGTGAACGCGATGGAAGGACTTGCCGAGTGAAAAATGCAAAGAAATAATCAAAATTCATGAGGCGGTTCGCGCGAATTATAGCGACTAACTTGATGGTTTTAAAGGCGCTCTTACCACGGCCATTCGACTCCGCTGTTTTTGCCCTCCAACATGCGTTTGTTGTTGCAAACTTTTTCCATCAAAAGTTTCGGTTTTCGATACGCCTGCTGCTGGCAGCTCCCGTTCTCGCTCCTGTTCCCGTTACCGCTCCTCCCGCTCCCCATCCCGCTCCAATTCCAGTTCCCGCTCCAACTGGAATTCCGCTCGAGGTTCAGGGAAGCTGGGGAAAAGTGCCACTTCCGCTTTGCGTCAGTGCACACGGCTGCCGAGCACAAAAGTGTGACTGAAGTGGCTGCCGCCCCTCCCCGCTTTCCCACCTCGATTTCCTGCCCGCTTTTCCACCCACTTTTGCGGACGGTGGCAAGGCTCAGGTGTTAATTAACTGGGGGCCGGCCCACTAAATTGTAAAACTGCAACTTGCCAAAAATTAATGAGACTGACGTTTGTGCGAATTACGCAAGCGGTGGATTTAGAATTTTTGGCTTGTCGGGCAAACTGCAGAGAAAGCCAACTTTGAAGTGGTTAAAAGGGAGGTTTATGAATATTCATCTTGGCCTGCAGTCGAGTCAAGTATAAGGCCATCAAAGTATAGCCCTTTGCTGTCAGTTCTATAAGATATATACAATATTTTCATTGCTTTCTTGAAGACACTTAATATTTGTTTAAAATTTCAAAGAAATAATTGTGTTCCATTAAGACAAATATGTTTGTAAAATAATTGATATTTTAAAGTGATAATTGGGCTTTATGATGATTAAGCCATTTAGCTAACTGAATTGAAATTCAAGAAAGTACTCTTAGAATTATCATATTAAGAATTTTCTATTTTATTTGCCTGATTGACTTCCATGTCTGATTTGGCTGGGTGTAAGATTAATCAAGCTCCTGGCTAATTAAGTCAGTGTTAGAAATTCACTTGCCGGTGACTACTGCAGCCATCGATCTTTGGACGGAGTGTGTCAACAGGGAATGTTGGCCAACAACTCCTCAGTCGAGGACGAAGACAAGGACGAGTATTAGCTGCCAAACGGCAGACGGCAAGTGAACTGTTGAGCTCAGTGCATGACACTAAATCAATTGGGCCAAGTGTCTGTTGTGACATATTCAACTAATGATGACGGATCAGGCAGGCGGGGCACTAAGTCACTCACACATGGCTCCCATTCGAAGGACGAATAACTGAGTCCTGCGTCCTGAGTCCTGACTTCTGGTCTTGTCCTCGTGCGACACCGTAACTAATTTCCCTGCCGGTCACTTGTTGTCTCATCGCAATGCCTGCTAAGGACATTAAGTTAAGCTTGCAGGACAACTTGTCAAGGACACTGGGCCATCTTTGCCCAGTTTACACGCCATGTCGGTGTCCTCATTATTTATTAATTGCATTTACTGCCGTTGCAAATTGTGGACAACTCTGCAACACGATTGCAGGGGGACTGGTTTAACTGGTATTTTAATCGCTTCCCTGCTGCCGGTTTTTCTAAACACTTACTCGACTAATTGAATTTGTCCGAATCGTTTTATCTCATAAATTAGGCAAATAATTTCTACATCATTTTCATTAAAGCAAATAAATAATGCAGCGGGCAACGTGTGGTTTCATTTTTTTTCCTATAAAATGTTATATTTTAATTAATGAAATTGGAAAAGGGGGAGCCTAAAATGTATAATATTCGTACATAGTTGCGAATAAATCACGAACTGCACAAATAAAATAATTGTAAATTAGTAATGGATTTTTTATTTAATTGAATTTGTGCGTTTAGCTTATTGATTGATAGAACCAATTCAGCAGCCGCAGGGTGACAAAGTAAATTAGTTCACAATGTACATATTTGCATTTATCAAAATACACTTATTAAAAGTGTTCATATAAATCTAAAAAAAAGTGGCCCGTGGTGAAATGCAAAATATTTGATTTGTTTGACACAACAATGTTTTTTTAATATTGCACCGATTGAATTGAATATATTTCTGGTCTAATTGCAGTTATGCGTTCTATTTAATTGCAAATTACATTTGCTCTTTGCAGCATCCACAATCCGCTTACCCTCTAATGCTCATTAAATGCAATTAACTTTCCACTCATTATCGGTTTGCTTTCCCGTAAAAAATGGCCACATTTGGAAAATTTTAAAACAAGTATGTTTTTTTCTTTTTCAATTTTAAATGGTGACAAATTGAGCATGAAGCTCGAAATTAATTTAAAAGCGATTTTGACAGTTAATGTTTTCTCTTTGGATTGTTAGTTTATTAAATTAAGCGGGCATTAAGCGTGTCTGCGACGTGTATTTGGGTCATCAGTGCGAAATAGCAGCGAAAGGGTTGGAATTTAATTAAATGCGCGCATAAATTATGCAATATAATGGCAAATGTACTTGCACACTTGCATATGCAATCGCTGCCTTGGGCGGCATTACGCATACGCACCCAGCCACTCGCATAATTATATCCAAATATTAAATTCAGCCCCCGAAAAGTATGCAGCCGAAAGTGCCGGTCGTCGCTGTTGTTCTCGTTCGTTCACTCATTCCATCCTGCGGCATTATTAATGCAATTTCCCCGGCAGATCGTGGGCTCCTTTGGGCCATCAAAGCTGTAAGCCAACGCAGCGTTCCACCAGACAGCAGCGGGTTAACTCCTGTTAACTATTTCTCTTGAGGTTGATAAAAAAGTTATGGAAACATTTTAAAGAAATTCACAGAAAGTTACCTCAAGCATTGTGAAAGGGAAAAATCAAACTGATAAGATTAATAAAAAAAAGCAAAAGCATACAATATACCTGCGTAACAAATTTGCAAAATTAATTTTATATAAAATCCATAAACGATTTTCAATTGAAATTGATGCTATTTGTTTTGTCTGTTTTTTTTTCCGTGACCAAAAGAAATGTTTATCTGGAACTGCCGACTGTCAACTGGCGAGACAACCGCACCGTTTATTTGGTTGTCTGTGTGAAAAGTGGGCGGCTGGATGCGTTGGTAGTGGAAAGGGGCGTGTCACGGTTTCAATTTACAAGCCTGTAGTTCACACG